GCTGCTGCTGCCGCTGCAATCGGATTTTCTCTTGCTTCTTCTTGTTGCTCTTCAATGGCAGCTCGTTGCATCGCCTCTGCGCCAAATCTGCCTTGTCCAAGGAAAGCCTCTGGTGGCTTGTGGTACACCGAAGCCAGTGTTGACAGTTCTGTAAGCAGAGTCTCTAATAGCTGAGGAGGCAATGATCGTATTGTGGAAGAGATTGGGGGTTTGTCGGAGAGTACAATTTCCTTGGTGATCTCGGGATCACTGGACAGTAGTCGCCAATAGACGTATGCTCGATCTCGGATATCTGGGTTGTCATTGTCTGCAGTCGCGGCCTGGAGGACCTTCGTCACGAGGCCCTGTGCCTGATCTGGCTTCTTCAAGAAGAGCTTGACAACTGCTGTGAGTATTTGAAGTTGTGTCTGGCGTATGTTAGCTCCTGTAGTACTCCGCCATGCATTTTCAGACATACTTGAGTGAACTCCTCGGCAAATGTGTCGACAAAATTCGACAGGATCTCACCGGCATTGTTGATCTTTTCCGCGTACTCTCCAACGATCCAGATAAGAGATGCTCTGGCGTTCGGCTCGTCCAACTCATCTATGCACTGGCAGAGTGTCGGTATTATGCCTTCATAACCAGGGTATTTGCGGAAGATATCCTTGATGACCACAATCGCCTCCTGAACGACGTAGTTGACTTTGGTGTTGATGAGGTCCAGCAGCGTGTTGACGCACTTCTCGCTTGCGCTCTCGATCTTAATCGCGACCTGTCCAATGGCTTTGACTGCTCGTCGCACGAAATCCATATCCACTTCCATGGCGTACTCCTTCAGCTCGGCCAGTAACTGATCGACATTCTTGTCATTCGCTATCCGCACCATTATTTCCAGCTTTTGCATCTTCAGGTACGGCGGGTCATTGTATTTGCAGAAGAAAACGCGCATCTCTTTGCTGAGAATGTCTGGCTGTTTCTGGAGCAGTAGGTCGATGTTCCGGAGCGCAACGTATTGTACTTCGGGAGCAGAAGACACGAGTGTGACTACAGTTTGTTAGTGATGGCCTGTTCTGCGTCTGTCATCAACATACCTAGTGGCGGAGCCATCTTCTTCGCATACGACTTCATCATCTCAGGAGAGATGTTTCGCATATGCAGGAACACAACCTTGACGGCTGCCAAGACGACACTTGGATTGACGTGCTGAAACTGTGGAACAACTCTTTCGCAAATGTGCTCTGCCTCCTTGATATCCACTGGCTTGTAGTCCGCGAGAGTAGTAAGGAGAGTAACTCTGCCCCACTCTGTACACTCGTTCAGCGCCAAAAGCATCTTCTTCAGTTGTTGTGATGAAATGACGAGAGCTTTGGTTTCCGGTGCTGCCTCCTGAATCTCTACCAGCGCAGTGACCGAGTTTGCGACCACCATGGGGTTTGGGTCGCCAACAAGTTCCTGCAGCTGTTCTAGGAAACCGTTCTCGATGCACATGTTGGGTGCGAGATCGAAGAGCTTAGCCACGCACAGAGCTGCGGTTTTCCGTACATATGGAGATTCGTCTCTGAGTGTTTTCCGCAAAGGTTCCTCCATGTAATCAGTCATCTTATCCACGCGGATGCAGCCCATAGTTCGGATCGCCAATGCTCGTATGAGTGGGTTTGCGTCTTCGGAGTCTTGCACGAAAGTGTTTACGGCGAGAATGCAGAGGTCGGGATGTGATTTTGCGTAATTCCTGGTGCATGTTGTCAGTTTCCGCTTGATGCGCAGCCTGGTTTGTACGCACATGAGGTATAGATATACCAGCTTCTTCTGGTCAAGGTCCCCAGTTGCAATGTTCTTCAGAACGTCAGGGAAGAGCGCCGAGACATCCTTGCCCAAAGTCATGGACATGATAGTCTTCTGAATGGCTTCTTTCCTGACATAGTCTTAGTATTTGCTCCAAATGCGTCTTATAGTTCCATGTGCTCACCGTTCGTAAGCATATTGAGAACTAGGGCAATAGTCAGTTATGAACAGCTAAACCGGTTCTTGGGTGATCATACACCAGACCTGCCCTCAATTCAAACGTCTCTCCCTTGCGCGGGGGCGCGAATGCGCCTCTTATCCTGTTGACAGCCATCTTTGTAGGACCGCAGAGGCCAGTCGCTCAGCCAAACCCCTCCGACTCCGGCTCGTAAGGTCTGCAACCTGTGCTGCAAGGGGCGGGGTATTCGAGGCGCAGTCTCTTGAGATTGTATGTAAGGGTATCCGAAATTCGGCGTCTCTGGGTCGGGCGGCGTTGCAGAGGGATTATGCGGGTTATGTCAATGCTCGTGGAGCTTCGCGATTGCCAGACTGCCACCTTGAGGACATGGTCCGTGCACATTTGGGGCCCCATCCATGTATCGCATCTAGCCCAGCCCGGAAGTGCTTCGACGCTCCCGCTGCGCTCACTGTTGCACCAAAACATCAACATGGTAAGTTGAGCATAGCAGCCCGTCTACACTGCAACTCTAATGCGAGATGGTAGCCTTCCAATTTACCGAACCTACGTCGACTGTTCGTTGAGGCGCGCAGCGAGTCCGAGGAGAGCGCGTACTCGAGGAAAGCTGTGCGTTCTCTCCAACATTCTCAATCTTGGTAACATCGTCAAGCTGATGCGAACTCAGTTCTACAATCTTGCCATATTCATGTCATCAATCGCCGTCTTTAGCTTGGTTGCACAGCGAATGACTTCTGCAAAGGCCATCGGCTGAGTACCTGAAGGGCCAATCACCACATAGCGAAAGTCCTACCGAATTGATCTCGTCAAGAACAAGTGTAATGCTCCTCACACAGCCCAAAGGAGTAAGCGATTTCTGGTGCCCTTCGTAATGGGGCGACCATGTGGCCGGCGCTTACACGGACAGCCATCTCCCTTGGCGCTTGCAACATAGATGTCGCAAAATTAGATGATACATTCTCCAACCAATCTAATACCGGGTGAATCAAAAGCCCACCGCAAGTGAGTGAGGCGCGGAATGATACCATTCCTCCTGTCTATTCCTGGTGTGCATGCATGGGACCCTGAATTGCGGCGAAGCAGCATCACACCGTATCGATAGGAGGACATGGTGCTTCATACTTGTCGACATATACCTCCTGTGAGGTAAGAATCTTCTGTATTCCAGACATGTTTCATTCCGCGGCCTCGAAATCACCAGAGCAGGAGAACGACACCAAAGACCGGTCCCGGATCCGAGCATCAACGAACTTCTATGACCGGATCGTGACTGATTGGTGGTGGTGGGAGATACTCAGCTGGATTATTAGTTTCGTCTGTGTGGCGGCTATATTGGGTGTACTGTGGTATTATGATGGTAGAAGACAGCCAGAACACTTGATAACAGGCATCACGCTCAACGCATACGTTGCAGTCTTTGCTGCGGTTTCAAAAGCAGCATTAATAATGCCTGTTTCCGAGGCGATTAGTCAGTTGAAATGGATCTGGTTCCAAGAGGAGGCTGCACTATGGGATTTCCAACTTTTTGACGCGGCCAGTCGTGGGCCTTGGGGTGCGACTATGCTACTTATCAGAACACGATGCAGGTAAGTCCTGGCAATGTACCCAACACTAGACTTTTACATACTGATACCTATGTAGGCATGTTGTATCCTTGGCTGCCTTGATCACCATACTAGGCCTAGCATTCGAGCCTTTCTTCCAACAAATCGTCACCTATCCCGATCGTACGATGATCGTTGGAGGTGGCTCGACATGGGCTGCATCAACTTTTGTACCCCAATCTCTACCGAGCACTCGCCGGCTTGGTTTTGACAACAATAACAGAGACCCGACAATGACTTTGGCGATCGACACCGTCCTCAACACCCCAGAAATTGCTATGAGACCCTCCACGGCGCAGTGCTCTACGGCAAACTGTACATGGCCTTCGTATGCCACACTTGGCGTCGGTCATACATGTCAAGACGTGTCTTACCTGCTCCAGTATATATGCGAAAACAACACAAAACTAGCCCTGCCACAACAAGCCGTCTCGGCGGTGGATCCCTGTGGCTACAAGGTGAACGATACGTTCGTTACTGGCGTCGAAGGTAATCTCGGTTTTCGCAAGGTGACCAGTTTATCGACGTTGGTAGTCGAAACATTTGATTTTGAATCTAGTGGCAACCACTTCTGGAACACCACAGCTTTTCACAATTCGACTCTACCTATCTTGGATTTCTATATCGCTTATACGCCAGGAGGTCCAGAAGCGGCGCTCAGAAACCAAACACCAGTATTGCTAGAATGTTTACTCACATGTAAGTAAAGTCGCGTCTCCAGGTCGCATGCATCGTCAGCTGATGCGAGTGATTGATTAGGGAATGTTCATACTATTGATTCCCGCATTGTCAATGGTATGCTACAGGAAAGGGTACTAGATACTGTCGTCGTACAGCCCCAGTCATTGGACAATAGCACCGCCTGGCCTATAACCGCTAGTTTGGGCTCGAACAACACATTCCAAATTCTCAATGGAAGCACTCAACTCCTCCGCGATTGGATCTTGTCGGATTTTCCCTTTTATCTGGATCAAGATCCTGCATACGATTTTGAGCTCTACTCTGGCATGTGGAACTTTCATCAGATCCCGCCCTACGACTTCGAGAGTCATATCTCCAACCTTACGAAAGCTATAACAAACGACATGAAATCACGGTCTTCTGGTATGAGGCTCATAGAAGGAATAGCGTGGAGCTCGGAACGTTTTGTGAAGATCCGCTGGGCCTGGATCACGTTGCCCGCCGTATCGCTTGTAGGAAGCTTGGTATTAATATTTGCAACGATTGTACAAGGAAGAAGGACCAAGGCGCCGCTATGGAAATCATCTTCTTTGGCCACATTACTACATGGCTTGTCGGAAGAAACTAGAAACCTCGTGGATCCAGATCTGTCTCCCAGTCAAGTTGAAGCCATGTCCGCAAGATTAAGGGTACGACTTTCGTCTCGGAGTGGAAGCGCGCGGTTGATAGCTTGAAGACGAAAACAGCCTGGTCGTCTATGTACAATTATTCGAGAATCTGGTTCGGCCTGTCACGCCTTTGGAGGGCTGCACCTGCACGCTTGATTTCTGCTTTCTTGATGCATAAAACTGCGTCATAAGATCCTTCCACTTCACACTCCATACCCATGTCTTTCGTTCCTCGTCCCAGCTTAGGTATCCAGGCACACGCATCGCTATGCCCGTCAGCTGGTTCCGAGTGAAGTGCACCCATGCCGTAGCTGCCTGTAGTCGTTCTAGTGGCAGCACAGAAGTGTTTTTGAGTTCTTCGACGCTTGTTGCGTTTGTTCCTTCTTTGAGTACACTCGGCGAACGGAACAGGGCAAAGCTTTCATCGGCATTGAGGCCGTCGAACGACATGCTCAATTGCGCGCGGGGTATTGGCGCACCTGGCCAAAGCAGAGCTCCAGAAGTGGGGTCGCGGCGCGGAAGTGAAAGCGTGATGGCGAACATTGGGAGGTAGATCGACGCGAACACTCGTTCAACAAGATCCTTGAATTTCCGTGACACATGCCGTACGGCAGTCCAGAGGTGACTTGCTTCGTAAATGCTTGCTCGTTCGAGGATATGCAGCCATAATTCAACTGGTAAGATAGATGTGGGTGCGCACACTGCAAATAAAGTCCCAGCCTGATTAGACGTTTCGCTCGTCATTTTGCTTTGCTGTTGTTTAAGGACTTGTGCAGGAGGTATAATCAGCACCATATATCCACGGTGCATCACTGTTGAGTCATCCACGGTTGGCCTTACCTAACACAGCACATGCTAGTTTTGCTAGGCGCTGACACATGCACAAAGACGCGGAAAGGAGTTTCTACAGACAGGGAAAAATACATTCCATGTCCTATGTGAAGGTTGATGTGTCTGAGGGAAGGCTGATCTACTCCGTTTACAAGTAGCGGCATGTCTCGGCTGGCTTGTCCCCACCATATGTCGCAAGTGAAAAGTTGGCAGTACCTGAAACACACGTGCCTGAGCAGTAGCCTGAGACAGCAACGTCTCGTCACCTTTAATGCGTCACAGGCCCATGAAGCCTAGGGCTTGGAATGTCATGCACATGCTAGCAGAACTGAGGCCCTCGTGCCCCGAGGTAAACTGGAGACCGCGTTTGTCATTACAACTTCAATAATTTTACATTTCATAACTGTAACTAAGCGCCAGAGAAGGAAATAGCGCCCTTAGAACCAGTCCAATGAAGCGCTCCGCTTCAATCTCCGTAGAGTGACCTTCGGTGCCCTTCTAGGGACAGAAGTACGTTCTATGTTAACTACAGTAATAGAAGTTGTCATCAAAAAGGAAAGCACCATTACCGCGTGTACCGCCTCAAACCCCAAGCCTCATCATCCGTCTCATCCTTCTTGAGGCGTTCAAGCAACAAAGTCGCGGGCGGCGAAGCTGCGGCGGCCGAATCGTCCACGTCCGCGTCCACGACCGAAGCCACCAAAGCCGCCCTGGCCTCCCTGACCTCCTTGCTGACCTCCCTGTTGACCTCCCTGTTGACCTCCCTGTTGACCTCCCTGTTGACCTCCTTGCTGGCCACCTTGCTGACCACCTTGCTGACCACCTTGCTGACCGCCTTGTTGACCGCCTTGTTGACCATTGTTCTGACCGTTGCCGCCACCGTTGTTGCCACCGTTGTTGCCGCCATTGTTGCCGCCACCGTTGCCCTGGCCGACAGTGAATCTCACACAGTCATCCTGGGGACCACGTTGAGCGACTGGCATGACAACAGGCTGATGGTTGCTAGCAGAGGTGATCGAGCAGACACGGTAGTTACCAGCAGGAAGACCAGCATCAAGAGTAGCAGTGAGAAGACCGTTGCCATCGCCGGCGTCGTTGATACCCTTGAAGAAAGCAAAAGTCTGAGCGTCAGGAGGGTTGTTGGCATTGTTGCCCATATCCTGAACGGAAATATGTGTATGACCAACAACTTTACCTCCCTGAAGGGTCTGCGGGGCAGCGTAGTAGGTGTTGTCGGGGTTCGTGAAAGATCCCGCCTGCAAGTTGTTGATCTTCACCGAGAAGTCAATCTTCTGGTTCTCTTGCTTGACGTCGTTGTTCTTGGGATCAGTGAAGACCGCCGAGATCATTTGGCCGACAGCAGGGATATCTCCCATGACTATTTGTGATTAGTGACTGGGTTCACTGTTACGCTTGTTCAAAACTTACCAATACCGTTGCAGGAGCCTTCCTTAACTTGGAGACCATTGGTGAGGGTCTTGCCTTGACAGAAGTTGATGAAGTTGGCTTGGTCACTTACAAAGTTAGTAGGGAACTTGTAGATGAATCTGTGTGCCAACATACGTGAGAGACGCGGCTTGTCCGTCCTCTTTACCCTGGTCGAATCCGTCGGATTGACTGGCCTTCTGAACGACATCGGCATTGAGGGCCAAACCACCACCATTACCACCGTTGTTACCACCATTGTTGCCACCGTTGTTACCGCCGTTGTTGCCTCCGTTTTGACCGTTGTTTTGACCGTTGTTCTGGCCATTGTTGCCGCCATTTTGTCCATTCTGGCCGTTGTTCTGGCCTTGACCACCACCTTGACCACCGAATTGGGCGTTGGCAACACCGGCCGCAAGCAGCAAAGGGACGAGGGTAGAGAAGCGCATGATGAATGCTCGAAGAACAGAAAGTAAGACTGGTAAAAAGAGTGGAGTCCGGCTAGCGGTGGATTACAAAAAGGCAGACACGTTCAACGTAATCTGAATGAATAATTAAGAGGAAGAGAAAGGAATGTAACCCTCAACTGCAGAACCGGAGTGTAATAGGACAAGCGACTGATTGATGGTGAGGACGCCAGATATCTTGGAGGAATCGCATTGCCTTAAGTCCTTGGCGACGTAGAAGGCAAAGAGTAACCTAGTAAGGCGGCTCGTGGTTCCTCGGGCATGAAACCCACGATGAAGGCAGAGACGTCTCAAACCCACTCATACCGGCATCTCTAAGGTCGCGCACGGGGCGCTGGCATCAACTGGCGCCCTACTATTGACTGAGGCTGTCATGGCAGCCTCTCCGGAACAAGAGTACGCCAGGCATTGAAGAGGAGGTCCGAGAAACGGTTCGTGTATGAGGTGTGCAAGAACCACGTTTGCGCTAACCCGAACAGGATACGCTAAGCGCCTTCTAGGACGAAGCCAGGCATCCTCTAAATTTTGAGGAGGGCTTGCTCAAACTCCTATGATGCCTTGCCATGCGCCATACGACAACCGAATGCACGGCAGGAATGTGTGATTGATTCCGATAGCCGTTCGTCACCACCGCAACGCCAGCGGGGAGATTGGTTTACTTGCTGCGGCCCACTCTGTGACCCACGCCTCCCCCAGAGCCTCACTGGAATGTCGGAGGTGCTGGGCTACACAGACGAGCAAGGTTAGTTTGTGCTGTCACTGTCTCGATTTTGACGGGCGTGACAGGTGTCAGCAGGACTACGGAGTAACAAGTACGATCCTGCGCCGTATCATTGCACGCACTTTGTTGGATGTCGTAATCAAGTTGCTCTTCTTGCGAAGACCTTCAATGACGGCAATCCTTCATCCGAGATCCATAATGATCGGATGTGCACGATGTTTGCTGTTTGGGATGTTATCGCTGCTTGCCAAGTCGTCTTACCACCCGGTCAAGACGACTCACCAGCTCCACTATGAACGCGGCGCCCAGGCGAGAAGTCAGCACATTCCTCCACCCATTAGCAGAATTGTGTATACCCATTCTCGAAGATCTGCATCTTGCTCCATCGACTCTGCAAGCGAAGATACCCCTTTGGCCCACATTCAAAGACCGTGCTCCCGGCAAATCGGTCTGAGACAGCTCATGTCAAACCCCCGCTACACGTTCGGTCCTCGAGCGTTGTCGAGGATTACGGAATCAGGATTTCCCTATGTAGTTCGGCGTTTGCGGGTCATTCGGCATGCCTGAGGCAAGACGTGTCTTCAGGCATAATGGATCTACATCTGTAACCAACACCCGCAGAAACTTCTCAGGTTGCATTTTCTCTAACGTGAACCCTCGATGTTGGGTTCTTTGATTAACGATTTGAAGCTCCCTTACACGCGTACTTTCGGATCTATCATCTTCCATAGTCTCAGATGGTCAATCGGCCCTCCATTACCTGCACCGCGCCGCCTTCGAGAAACAGCTGCGATACAGCTCCGTCCTCGGTCATCTCGACTTCGATGAAGATCTCGCTTCTTCTGCCCATCTCTACGCCCTGAATAATTTCGTACTTGAGCGTCTTAGATTCTCTTCCTGCTGTCAACGAAAGATATGCTGCCAAATCGCTGGCGGCGCTACCAGTGGCCGGATCTTCCAATGGACCCTCGATCATCCTGGTCCTTACTCTGGTCACGCCCTCGTTGCTTTTTCCCGTCCGAACAAAGAAATATGTCCCGATGAACGTCTGGTCCCAGCCTTGATCCAGGCCTTGGATTTTGAGAGACTGGCCAGCTAGCGATACCATACCCAGGGCCTCTTCACTCTCCAGTTCGACTAGAACAAAGGTCATACCTTTGACAATTGAGACAATAGCAAAGTCGTCTTTGACCCCGACCTTGCCTTCCTGATGAGCTTCTGCTAATCGAGGCTGTAGTGCGAACAGCTCGTCCTTGGTGTATCTCTTCTCGTGGATATGACTGCACTAGTCAGCCGACATACGTCCATTGGAGTTCAGGTCGCCGAATTGACTCAGGCGGTTGGTCTGGAACACTGGGTGCTAACACCGGTAGTTCAAACTCCAAAGCCCGCCGAGGAGAACAGTTCTAAACACAGCACGTACACGTCATGAGGAATGGAAGCCTTTGCCGTCATCTTGCCGCAGTCGTACCGCAATCCAACATCTCCGGCTTTAAGGCTGAAGCTCGCTTCCATGACGCCGCTGTGGATACCACGCTCCCGAGCCGTCCTCTCTAAAGCATAACACGCAGTGCCTACGGTCGGGTGACCCGCAAACGGTAGTTCCTGCGATGTCATGAAGATATCGACGGTCCATTTGTCCTCCGTCGCACCATCCGCATTCTCGTGTAAGAAGGTGGTCTCTGATAGGTTGAACTCTCGCGCGATGGTTTGCTTTTGTTCCTGAGTTAGTGTCCGGTCGTGCGGGATGCGAACGATGGCCAGCGGATTGCCGCCGTATGGCTGGGACGTGAACACGTCCACGGTCACAAATTCGAGCTGAGAGGATGAGGCCATGTTCAAAAGGTCAGGGGATGTTTGTTCTGAGATGGACAATTGATGGTTTGAGTCCAGGACTACTGTTGCTGCGTGAATACATGGGTCAGATGACTCATAAAGCACCTGCATACTGCATCGAAGAATCTAGCAACCCCGCCATGATGTTGACTCAAGTCTTGAGATGCTCTGAACCAGAAGCTGTTCTGGGTGATTTGAGATATCCTTTGCCGTGATATCCACCGATCAGTTCGATGGAGGTTTTGCGGCAACCCGAGAAAACGGTACCAAAGTTGACACGCCAAGCATAGCGAGAAGGCTCGAGAGACGTACGCATGGCGTCGGTAAGTGCCTTTGTCATAGCATAGCCTTCGGTCTTGGCGTACTTTTTTATGACCGATGATGAGGCTGCGATCGTGAGGCTGTGCAGTTGCTGTTCAAATACCAACCAAGGATCATTAGCTCCACATTACGTGTCCTTCCGGTATGCCCGAGGTATCCTGACGCCGAACAGTAAGGTCAACCCTACCGTATGCATACAGCAGTGTACCTGGATAATATCACATTCAAGTTCTCAGTAGGCCTGCCATTGGCACACATGTCCAGCAATGTGCTAATGAGGAAACTGAGTTTTGGTACTCCTTGGCCGGACCTCGACTAGTTGTTCCCGCGACGACCCCTCGTGTTACGGAGAAGAGCGAGTGTGGTGGAAACCTTCGCGTTAAATCTGATGAATCGGTCACAAATTCTTGTAACTGTACCAAAGTTCATGGCACACATCTACGATTTCAAGATCGAGCCCGATTACGCCACGAAGAAAGGGCATGACTGCATGGCGACGGCGATGGCAAGAATGTGATTTGAAATTCAGCCATTTGTTCGCCTCAGCTACTCGCCATCTCCGTGGCGCACTGAAGTTGATCTTCAATGCGCATAATTGTTGTTGCAACAATGGTGTAGCTCGCAAAAGAGGAGTAATCTTGGGCTGCGACGAATGAGAAACTGCAACGTTAGGTGTGGAGACAAACTGGGGTGCTGGTCATGGTCTGCCAGTCGCGAGCAGATCGACGCGGAGATTATTTTCAACGGTCTTTATCGATTCATACTCGCGTCCTGGCATTGTTGGCTAGCTGCGTGTGTACCTGCGCGGCTGGGGATTGTTGAGGATACCTAGGTACACACCGGCATTAGTACCCGTGGCCGACTGGCCTGCGAGGAAATTGTCAGACGGTGGCCAGCGCAAAAGACCCAAGAGTTCGTCAATCTGGCGATGTGCAGTATGATCGCAGTGTTTCGATCGATGAAATGAGACAATCTCGGCTGGTGCCATGATGGGGATGCCCTCGACCTGATGGTGCGTGGTTTCCAAGCGAGGAGGTGCACTGATACTAGCAGGACTCAGGACTCGGGACTGCTAGGACGATCCTTCGCGTTGCCAGTACGAGTCCGATCTCGAACGCGTGCCATGTTGCTGCACCGCGGCCCAAGGCGATTGATGTGCATACACTTGTGGTTGTAGTTGAGGGGGTTCAATCACACCTTTCGGACACTGTCCGACGGCGGGATGAAGACTGCAGGCTATGTCCTAATTCATAGTGTGCGGAAGCATTAATTTTAACAACATGTCAGACGCGTCGCGTTAGTTGTTAATGTCAGCGCTGTTATGGTGCTTTTTTGTGACATGAGCAATCTTTTATCGGTGCTGCAAACACCCCACTCGGCTGCAGGCTTGGACAACGGGGGCAGGGGGCGTGGGAGGTGATAAGTTCGCATGGCTGCAGCTCCGAGTCTGCAAGGTACATCTCGTTTGCGACTGTGCTGAAGGTCAAGGGTATGAGTCGTAAGTCTAGGCTACAAGAGCCAACTTTCTGAGGTTTCATCGTCAACGGCGCTGCTACGCCGCAATGCTCAGAGGCTCGCTACACATTCGCACAAGCTGACAAGATGATGCGGATCAGGAAGCTTTGGGGCAGAGTTCACAAGTGGCCAGCTATGGTCATGGTTCTGTGGGATACTGACGTGCGAGGCGATAGAGTTTTTGCACTGGGTTCTGTGAAGGATGGAGGTGACAATTGCCGGTACAGGCTTATCCTGGCATTAGGACAACAGTCGTCGATGGTGAATTGAGTTAGGGCGGCGCAGAGATGGCGTACGGTTGGGCAGACGTAACGCGACTCAGTGAAGCAGAGGGTCCGCAGCTGTCCGACCCTCTGCGCCGTCAGTCGAGGGCTAGCTTGGGACACAATTGCTTTCTGCGTGTTTTCGACCATGGTACAGCTGCTGCCACATCGAGGGTGACGTCTCAGGGTCTTCAGGGGAGGCCTAGAGTTGCACGTCGTCCAAGTGCGAATGTGTAGCGTCAGCCATGGATTGGAGCAGGGAGCAGCGTGCCTGACTCGGGGCGGGGTCGGCAGGGAGCTTGATGCACTCGAGCTGAAAGGCGTTGCCGCCGGCGCGCTAGGCCAAGGTCGTCGTGGTTCTCGGGGAAGCTGGAAGCCCCTGTCACTGACGCCACTCATGCAAGTGCGAAAGCGACCATCACGGGCCCTCGCCCAGGGATCATGAGAAGAAGCGTTGGCTAGAGCAAACGCAAAACCCTTTCTGTATACCTACCCGACGTCTGCCCGTTCCAGCCCTCTGCGACCGTCTGCTCCTCATAATCCCGCCCTACACCACCACCGTCTCCGCTCGAGCATCGTCGTGTTTGTCCTTCTTTTTTGTTTACCGTGCCTATACCGTGCCCATTCCAAATCCCTGCCTGGTCGCACATCCCACCACCAACGACACTGGACATTTGTCACTTGCAACACAACTTATAACTTGGACCATCATCTCCGCCACACCACTTGCCTGGAGCGACTCGCCGTGGATCACCCAGAGCTGTAGCACCGTTTATCTGCAGCATTGCCGTCGTGCTTTCTTCTCTTGCCTCCTTTGCTGGTTGCGCCTTCCTTTCTTCTCGTAAACGCTACGACCACCCCACCAAAACCCCACGCGCCCGCTAGCTCTCTCCCACGGACCGCCTTCTCCTCTTCGACAACACCCTCAAACTCAACTTCGCTTCCCCGGGGATCGCTTTCCGTCTTTGCTTCTCTGCGATACGCGCAGGTTTAGCGCTGCGCCGCCGCCTGGACCCTTTGATTGCCCTGCCACGCTCACGTGCTCAGCACTATGGCATCAAATCATTCCCGCAGCGCGTCGGATGAGAACCACAACTCAATGGCCTACGTTCTCGAACACGTCTTACAGTACCCCGGAAGCTACGACATCCCCCTCAAAACCATGTACGAGCTCAACCGTGTGGACCGCGCCCAACCATTCCCCAAGAGCCTGGCCAAGTCCGGCAGCACATCACCAGTCTCCAGCCAATTCGCATGGAACCCTACCGAAGCTGCCGCCATGAGCTTTACCTCATCTTTGATGAACCAGCTCAAAGCATTACCCACACGGACCAGCGCACTCCCACCCGCTTTCATCGTAAACTTTGTCAGCCGGACCTTCATGCCTGAGCCAGCTGATGTTGACTGGAGCCAAGCCTTGACAGCTCTCGACTACCTCAAAGATCTCGAGACGCGCCGACGGAGGGAAATGGCCACCACCTTCGAGGCCCTTGATGTCCACAGGGACACATGGGATGCCGACATGGCCCGTGTAGCCGAAAAGGCACCGGGCATTGCACTCTGGATCAACAATCTTGAGGGCAAGAACCGAAAAGCTGAGTCGTACTACGCTCAGCTCTGGGTCGGACTCCGCCGATGGGTAAGCTATGCCACTCCTTTCACACGTGATCTACTAACATCCGCTGGCAGATCATGATCAATCACCTTTCAGATGAAGAGTTCAACAAGCTCAACTGCATCAGCTATCTCAACACCCTCTTCCCTCCTGTTCACGGCCAGACCAAGCTTCCTTCACAGTTCCTGAACCACGAAGCCCTGAAAGAAGAGCGCCAGATCTTCTTCGAACTGATTAGTCAGGTGCAAAAGAGAGGACCTGATGTCTTGCTGCCCCTGATCAACAGGGACAAACGTCCCGAAGATCGAACCGGTTGGCCCACTGTCCAGAGGATTGTCGACAAGTACCTCCGAGTTGCCCAGAATATGATTCAAGACTGCATAGCCACCCATGGACCCGAGTCTTTTGATCGCTACATGAACGGACCCGGAAAAGAGAAGAAGCATGATTCTGGTGTGAGCTTTGGTTCCGAACGCCGGCCCAGTGTAGGCTCCAGCATGCATGGCGAGCAGGCATCCGAACCCATGCAAAGCTATGCCCCGGCCCCCAAGGGCCTCAGCAAGCTCGAGAGGATTACTCGCGAGTTCAAGCGCATGCGAGTCAAGCCCCGGCCCGAAGTGGAAGAGATAACGCAATTCAGCCAGCGGGCCGCTGCTGACTACGTCCCCCCGACCGGTGAGAATGCTGGGAAGAAGTCGCTCAAGAAGGCCCGATCATTAGCAAGTCTCAAGTTTGGCAACGGCAGCTCTGCATCTCTGTCCAGCAGAAAGGGCAGCGATTCTATGCCATTCGACGCAAACGAGATGAAGAAGCACCGAATGATGTACGAGGCGTCAGTCAGCAAGAGCACCACCCAGGCGTAGACAGCCGAGCGGTTGATTACGATGGCCGTTACGATTTCATGACGACTCGCATCTTCACCACGAGTCAACATAGCATGTTCACATGCACCCACGAATCCCGGGTCGTTGTAAGCACGATTCGGACCGATGCCACGGCGCGATCCCTGGACGCAGGACGGAGACGTCGCATCGTCGCAAAAGCATGCAGGTTGGTCGCTGGTTTCGACTCATTTTATTAGAGTCCCCATTGTTCTTTGTTACGAGGCTGAGAGGCCTTTGATTTTAGCGGGCGTTGTCAGAAGCAATACCTTCGCGGGTCAAAACTTCTATTTTCATGTTAGTACATCAGGGCTTATGTGATCTATGATGGATAAAGCATGGCGTTCAGGAACTGGGTGCATGGCAAAGGCGTAGTACACGATTGTTTTTGCTGGCATGTTTCTTTTCTTCGGCTGTACATACGAAAAGGTACGCGAGTGCCTTGATGCGGAACACGCATCGATATCCGAAAACTTTAGTGTAATCGTGTCATTTCAGACATGGTAGAGTAATGGATAATACATATCACAATCACACTGTTTCAACACTGCACAGTCCTGCACGCGTGTCATTGGCGGCGCTCGCGATGAGGCGAGAAACGAGACCATAAGGAACGAGGCTTCCGTTGTTGACCTTCCCTATTGATCCTGTTTGTCTCGCGTAGAGCTCATAACACCCGATGGTAAAGTTTGTTTTGCAAAATCAATTGAACGGCGATTCAAGACCCTAGGCAAGGTAAACTTTGTTTTAATCACACTGCCCACTGAGCCCGCAGCTGTTCCCACATGCATCTGCAAGCATAACAACAACAGGGTAAGTCGCCCCCGCCACACTTTGCCGCATGGAGCACGGCTTCGGGTGCCCGTTGCAACGTCAATGGCCATCAAGTTCCTCACGTGCGTTCAGCGGGCATGCGAAATGCAGTCAATCACATCCCCGGCATGAAGGTGCCCCGAAGCTAACCGTGAAGCACGATCAGCACCCGATATGGCCTCATCCATCCCGAACACGGAGCTGACCTCTTGCGACGCCCGCGATGCCGACAGCCCATCCCACGCGTCTGGCCCATCTCAAGTAATCAACACCTCGACGCGTACGGCCGAAACTCGTCAGCCTCGCCAGCCCTCCCCAGCTGCCGCCACCGCACCGCCACGACGTTTCTTCGACCCCTGGAACAGCTCCAGTACAGGCCATCAGCGCGCTGAGAATCGCCTCTCTGGTTCTACGTCATGGCGCGCGTCGCGGAGCCTCAAGCTGGGAGAGCAGTTCAAGGCTGGTAGGGACGGGGGTAGACGGGTCGCCGACACGGTTGGCGCAGGCAGTGAGGATTTTGGCAAGGATGGTCGCAAGGACAACGGCAGCTGGGAGAAGGGCGCAAAAGGTCTCAGGACAGGAGGACAGAAGAGCCTGGCCGAGGTATGGGCTGCGAGCAAGGCAGGCAGGAAGCAGTCCCAACAGAAAGACACCAAATGTGTTGCCATGAACGCGCATGACATGTCCAACCATGGGCAGACAAATGCGCCTCCAGTGTCCTCTGATGCAGGAACAGAATCAGATGCACATGTCCACAGCGACCTCTCCCAATCTTCGTCAAAGCCTCCTGAGAACCAGATCTTCGCCGGACTCTGCTTCTACCTCAACGGCTCGACCGCTCCCCTAGTCTCTGACCACAAGCTCAAGCGGCTCTGCGCCGCTCACGGCGCTAGACACTCGATATCACTAGGCCGTCGAACCGTAACGCATGTCATTCTTGGAAGAGTAAATGCAAACGGCGGCGCAGGCGGTGGCTTAGCTGCAACCAAAATCCAAAAGGAGATTACCAGGACAGGCGGCAAAGCTGTCAAGTTTATCAACGCAGAGTGGTAAGTAAGCTTTGCACATCTCCCGCTCTGCCTTTCTCTCTGTGTTTCACATCCGATTGCGCACAATCAGAGTTCATGCATAACACCTGCCGTGGCATTTACTCAACTGACATGTGCAGGGTCCTGGACAGTATCAAAGCGAATCGGCGCCTCCCAGAGTCACGCTACTCGCCGCTGAAGCTGGCGCCCAGCACTCAAAACAGCATCTTTGGCATGATGGGCGCAGCAAGTTCAAAGCAGGAGCAGGGATGAAGCCAACCTCCCTTTGCAGCAACTCTCCCGGATCGACGAGGTTTGCCGTTGAAGCCTCGCCTGACGTGCCAGGACTAGGAGGAATACGGAATATGCCAGAACCAAAAGGGCAAAATTCCTGCGTCACAAAAGACCCTTGAACGATAACAAACTTTCGGTGCTCGAAACCGCATCACATGAGCTCGTGGTGATCCACTTCTGTTCACTGAAACGTTGTTTGTGGGGAAGTCGGGTCCGACGTCGATCAACAACTTAACATTCATGAACCCTTGAAAACCTTAAGTGGCGCGATAACGTGGCGCCATGTTCGCGCAGAGTCATTAGTTTTGTTACTCACGCCATACCTGCCATGGTTTCCCAGTCCCGAACTCTGTTTCTTCAATCGTAGCGGCAGCGGCTCGACTTGGCCTATTACGCACTAGCGTGGTTTGGTTATCACAGTTTGAAAGCGAAAGAAGAAGAAGTTTCCAACCCACAAAGCTTCTTGCTCGTTGCTTTGTAGTGTACCATGTTGTTCTTTTTTCGGTAGGGTAGCCGGTTGCACTTCACCAGCGTAGTGCTGTTATCTCTTCAAACGCGGATGCTTCCGCTAATGGCGCGATTGCTGTCATGGAACCGGTTGGTGCGCCACTGGAACCCACTGGCGTGAACTCTTTGTCTGTCAAAACAATCAAGTCCGGGTTCGTTCGGTTCCTTGAAACGTCCGGACTTTTGCCGTAGAAATTCAGCGGTTGCTCAACGATCACTAGTACCTTGATAGCCGTGGACCCTGCCTGTCAGGGTAAGTTCCGTGTTGGTTCCTCGAGGGTTTTTGCTGAGCTTGTTGCGTGACTCGAAAGCGGATGGCGGATGATCCCTTTGGGGTAGACCGTGATAGCCCCACTAAGGAATCTATTGTTACATGTTTATTGTACTTTTCTGCGCCTGAAATTCCGGTGAAGGCTGTTTCGCTGCTATCTAGCCTGTCGAAACCGTAGTTGCGGATGTAACGGGTGATGTGTGCTGGTGTCGAGAGAATAATATGTGATAATGAAGTGTATTAATGTCTTTGCATGATTTGTTCAGTGCCTGTGTTCAAGTCACGCATAAAAAGCAGTAGTTTGATACTGACGATTACAGGAAGTAAGTCTGAACGACTACCCTGTATAACTCGCAAACTACAACCTTCAATATCACCATCACCCCACTCAGCACTCTCGTTATTGACAGGCATGGCCACATTGTTGGTCAGCTTGCTTTACAAGAGTAAACCACTCTGTTTAGCCACAATGTGTCGAGTATCGCAACACGCTGAATCTATTCTGAAGTTTTCTGTGCGCGAAAAGCGATACAAGAAGATCAGAGCGGGAGTACATGCGTAGGAAAATCTTGAAATATACGAATCGACTAAAGCTTGTACTTACTACAGGAACACAACAAGAGAACCACCAGGCTAAAACATGGATATCTCACTTTACCATGTAGCTTTTAGACCATCACTGTTGTGATAACATCTGAAATTGTATTTTGACATTAGAAAAAACTATATATCAAGACGCAGTCATACAAATGTAGTAACAAAGCGTTTTGCACTTCATAATACCAGCTAGCGCGTGTGCCTTGAAAACGCCGTAAGCCAGCAGGTATCACTATTCCATGAACGCCAGCTTCCCGTGCACAAAAATCTGACTTTGTCCTCCAAGCAGCAACCAGTTTCCCTTAGCCAGCTGTCCTCGGCTTAGCCTTGGCCTGCTTCTTCGCCTTCGCGTCAGCCTTTTGCTTCTTTTTCTTCTCTTCAAGCTTCTCCTCAGCCTTGCGTTTCAGACTGGCCTTTTCCTCGGCCGTCTTCTCAATGGGCTTAAAGAAACCCTCCAACCTGCTCTGTTGCGCTGTCTTCATGTTCTTCTGTAGCTTAGCTGCTCCATTGCGCACCCTGTCCTCGTTGAAATGCTTCTCCTCGACCAGGAACTTAACAAGACCTTCTACGTCTGGGGCTTCCCACTTGAAGTCGCATTCTGGGTCATCGGCAGGTCGGACGTCTGGTTCAAGGAAGAGCAGGCGCGCATCGGCGAAGGGCCAGTCGTCGGGGATAGTGAGCTTCTTGGAGGATTGGGACTTGATGTGTTCAACGACACCTTCCAAGTCATTATGCTCACGGATGAGCTTGAGAGCGGTGCTGGGGCCAATGCCTTTGATAGGGTCGAGATAATCACAGCCGAGGAGGATACAGAGGTCGATGAACTGGAAAGTGGTTAGTAGGTGAGAGTTTGGAAGCGCCCTTAGATGCCGTACCTGTTTCCGCTCCATGTTCAAGCCTTCGAGTACCTTGTCCAGATGAATCTCCAGAATGGGTTCTTTGCGTTGCTCGCTGAAGGTCAGATGTCGCAGCAGGATGGGTGAATCGAAGGTCAAGGTGTCCATATCCTCTGAAGCGGCGGCATAGACCTTACCGCCTCTCGCCAATGTCGCGCATTGGGCTTCAGCTTCGGTCGGCGCAACAATGTACGGGATGCCCATGAGCTTGAGCAGGCGCTGACACTCCTCGTTGTGTTCCCTCGTCACCCTGACGGTCCGCCGCGAGAACTTCTCGACGTCTTCGGCTGTACCCGTCTCTTTTGCCTCCTCAGCCGCAGCGTGTGCCTCTGTCTTGCGCTGAAACCGCTTCGCGAGCTCGCCGGACTTGAGCTTGGGTGGAGCGCCGTCGAAGACGTAGAGGGGCTTGATACCGTTGTCGACCATGCGCATCGTGCGGTAGAAGAGACCCATGAGATGTGATGTGGTTTCGCCTGTCTCGCTCATGAGCTGCTGACCATCAGATCGGACAGCGATGAGGAAACTGTAGATGCTCATAGATCTACACGATGTTAGGTTCGAAGTGTCATTGGAGGTTTGATATATGCATACGCATCCTGCACACGTTAGCAAGTGACCTGTTACTCCGAGAATGCTGCGAACGAACTATGGCAACTTTGCGTCCAAACTGGTTCTTGATCTCGCCCTTCTTGACTGCCTCGGGCGCATGCTCCTCAATGAGCTGGTACAGGTGTTTAATACCCATCTCTGGTGTTTGCCCTAGTGCGTGAATGTGTATCGGGTAGAACTTGGTGATGTCGTAGCCCTAGATTGTTGTGTGTAGAAGCGTAGGCGAGGGCGTGGAGGCTGGAGAAAGTGACGCCAACCATTATCACGACGCGTCCGCGTCTCACGCGCAATCACGGTCTACATTCCTTGGCACTGCTACCCCACATATCGCCTGTCATCGCTTAGTGAGGCTCAGCAGGCATTCTCTGGGGATGCATCTCGAATCCTGTATTTAATCTCCCCAGATCTTATTAGACGCCCCAGACGCTCCAGGCGCCGCGTGTTTGATGTGATGATGCTGGCTTTATTGCCACCGCGCGCGGAGTGCTTCCGAACCGCGGTTCTTTCTACGTGGGGTTTTCCGAGGCCAACATCATCCAATTACGGATATCTTCGTTTCGACCCTAGTATAATAGTCACTCTTGTGTAGCCAGAAGACTTTCTTCATCCTTGATCACGACTTCAACATGCTTCGACCAACATACAGACATGCCACCCGGCAATTGCGCACTCCACTCCGATCCGCGGCTCTCGGCAAACGATACTTACATGCTCCTGTGAAGTTTGACTGGCAAGACCCATTAAACACAAGCAACTTATTTACAGAAGAAGAGCAAGCCATCTCAGAGACGGCTGAATCATATTGCCAGGAGCGTATGCTTCCGAGAGTGCTAGGTACGCGAGACATTGCCTCGGTCTCTATAGCCAGCTGACGTAGCTCAGAGGCATATCGCAATGAGAACTTTGACAGAAAGATCATCGAAGAGATGGGTGAGCTGGGACTGCTAGGTGCAAGCATACAAGGCTATGAGTGTGCCGGAGTCAGCAGCGTTGCTGCAGGCTTGATCACCAGAGCCGTGGAGAGGGTTGACTCAGGTTATCGTTCAGGCTACTCTGTTCAAAGTTCACTTGCTATGGGTGGTATTGAGGAGTTTGGATCTGAAGAACTAAAAGAACGCCTGCTGCCAAAGATGGCCAAGGGCCAGTTGCTTGGTTGCTTTGGCCTGACTGAGCCTAACCACGGATCCGATCCAGGCTCTTTGGAGACGGTTGCGAAGCCTCATCCTACGAAGAAAGGTTACTACTCACTGTCTGGTTCAAAGACCTGGATTACGAACTCGCCCATTGCCGATGTCCTCCTTGTCTGGGCGAAGCTGCAGAGTACGGGCAAAATCCGTGGCTTTGTCATTGAGCGCGACCAATGTCCACCCGGTACTCTCGAAACCCCACCAATCAAGAACAAGAACGGTCTACGGGCGTCCATCACTGGTATGATTCAGCTCGATGAATGCCCCGTGTCCGAGGCAAACATATTTCCGGAAGTGGAGGGGTTGAAGGGACCCTTCAGCTGTCTCAACTCAGCCAGATATGGTATTGCCTGGGGCACCATTGGTGCTCTCGAAGACTGCATCGCAAGGACCCGAGAGTATGCACTAGAGAGGAAGCAGTTCAAGAATAACCCGATTGCCAAATACCAGCTTGTGCAGAAGAAGCTGGCTGATGCTACGACGGATGCTGCGTATGGTATTCTGGCTGCCCACCAAGTCGGACGCCTGAAGGATGAAGGTAAAGCTGCGCCAGAGATGATTTCTATGATCAAGAGACAGAACTGTGACAGAGCGTTGATCAATGCACGAACGTAAGTTGTACCGAGTGCTTGCATGATATTGTACTGACTGTGGGCAGACTGCAAGAAGTGTTTGGTGGAAATGCAGTATCGGATGAGTACGGAATCGGAAGGCATGTCGCCAACTTGTTTGTGACACAGACATACGAAGGCCAGAGCGACATCCACTGTGAGTCTAACAGAAACACGGCGGTGATTTTGGCTAATTCAAAACAGCTTTGATCCTCGGTCGAGCCATTACTGGATTACAGGCCTTCTGCTGATTGTAGCGAGGTTGCTCCAACTTGAATCTTTCCTGCTGTTGCTGTACTACCAACAAAAGTGTATGAAGGCGCATCCAATCACAAGTAGCACGTTAGCTGTAGGCGCCTAGAGATGTTATGCATGCAGACAGAGTTTATTTAGAAGTAGACGCATATCAAACCATGTGAAGGTCGATGCACGCTCCCGAGTTGGCCTCGAACGCGGCAAGTGTCACTTCTGATTGCTCGTATCCACAGTGCAGTTCGCCACGCGAGTTCAGGTCGAGCGACTGACCAATGTACGGTGACTAAGTGCAGTCAAAGACGACTGTGAAGGTACATGTCAGCCTTGACGCATCTTCTTGCGTCTTCGATAGGTTGCCACCAAGCGCGGTTAGCTGCACAGGGTAGAAACGCTCGGTGAATTTTGTGGGCAGCGACACTGTGCAGTTGGGCGGTCAGCTCTGTGTCGCCTCTTTGCGGCTGGGTCTGACACATGATAAATACAAACGCCCCTGCCTGAGCCCCATACTGCAGACTTTCTCTTTGCACAGCTCGGCCGCCTGTCTTGCACCCACAGCGAGTCTTAGGTACGTGAAGGCGTGTGGCGGGTGAGCCTTCCGCTGATACGCCGCACTTGCTTTCTTTGGACCCCCGCTAACTAACCGCCTTGCCTGCGCAGACATCCCACTTCAACTCTTCAACACCAACTCGCTCTACCGCAACAACCGCGATACCCTCCCATACCAACCCACACACATACACACAGCAGCCATGGCTCTCAAGCGCATCAACAAGGAGCTCACCGATCTCGGCCGGTACGTGATATCTTTTCCCTCGACGGCGAGGCTCGCTTGCTCTCTTTTGCTCGCATGGGCAGCGACATGGCAGCGACCGGGTGCGAGGCCGTACGCCAGAACCCGACGCTGCTGCTTCGCAAGACGACCAAGAGTGGAATATTTGGCTGACACCCTACCTCTAGTGACCCTCCCTCTTCCTGTTCGGCTGGCCCTATTGGAGATGATCTGGTACGTCACTCTCTGTGCACGACTCCCGCGGCTGAGACACTCTCACCGACATGATCGTGGAAAAAAGAGACAAGGCCAAACACATGCTAACTGTGCGGCAGTTTCACTGGCAAGCAACCATCATGGGTCCTGGCGACTCACCATATTCCGGCGGTGTCTTCTTCCTAGCGATCCATTTCCCAACCGACTACCCCTTCAAGCCCCCAAAGGTCAACTTCACCACCCGCATCTACCACCCCAACATCAACTCCAACGGCAGCATCTGTTTGGATATTCTGCGAGATCAATGGAGCCCAGCCCTCACCATCTCAAAGGGTAGGCCATCCTGAAATTCCCACGGGAATCCATAATCCATGCTAACGAAAATTGTAGTGCTACTGAGTATCTGCTCGATGCTGACAGACCCGAACCCTGACGACCCGCTCGTCCCCGAGATCGCACACGTCTACAAGACCGACCGGTCCCGCTATGAATCGACGGCGCGTGAGTGGACTCGAAAGTACGCCATCTAGGTTGAGCGGACGCAAGACTGGTGGCGGAGCGTGGTTTCGTTAGCACCTGTGATGGGTTATGAGACGATGGTTAGGGTCGATTTCAAGGCATAGTGTCTGATGGGGGTTTCTTGTACACGGCATGCATGCTGGACTGCGTTCATAGCACTGGCTATCATCACTCTTAGCAGAACAGGCTCGATTTCTTTATCCGAGATGCGCAAATGTGAAGGTTTCAATATCATGGTGATTTCACATTTTGGGGGCTTCGGCGAAGCAGATTAGGCTTTCTTCACGTCATCGCCTTGTCCTTTTATGTTGTTGTTGTTGTCTCTTTGGCTTGTGATTCCTCCTCGACCGCCGGCATGCCTGGGATGGTAGCCATTGCATCACCGTGCTCTAACGCTGATGCCTTCTCTGCTTTTTTTCTCAACCGCTCATTCATCTCATCCGTAAGCCTCTGCCAATCTCTATCCATTTGCTCTCTTGCTAACCGTTGTTTAGTCTCTTCTTCTTCTTCGTTCTCTTTCTTTAGAGCCGTTTCTTCTTCGTTTGTCTTCGGCGCCTCTTCGTTTACAAGTTGTGGTGGCATCGACTGCCCCAATTGATTCGCCTTCCTAACTGCCTCTGCCTTTTGAGAAAGCATTTTAGCTTGCTTATCCTTTAGGTCTCGGCCGTATTCTCGTAGTTTGCGACGGCGTTCGAGTTGCAACAAGTACGAGTTGCCTACCAGAGGAGCGAGTAGAGATGGCCGTGTGTTCACTTTGATGTCGTTAACGAGTTGATAGTGTAGATCTCGGAGGGTGACTTGAACGTGCTTGATAGCCACGCCTTTGCGACCGAGGTCGTTCGTCTCGTCGGCGGGGTCGCGGAGGGAAAGCATATAGTCGGGCATGGGATCGATTTTTCCATTCTAGATAGTCGTTAGCGTGTGTGTGAAGAAGAAGAAGAACTGAGTGAATTCGTACCTCCCGTTTGGCCCTCTGTACGTCAGTCAGGACAGGATGCTCCGCTTTGTCGTAGAAGTAAGCCGGTTCAATAGAAATACCCCGCTTTGCTGTATCGAACTTGCCCCAGAAGTGAAGAAAGTTGAGGAGAGCTCGTGCGGAATCTCCTGGCGGACTCGGCGTATGCTTTAAGCTAGCGACGACCATCATGAACAACGGATATGACCCAAAACCGCCCCGAAAAACGTCCGACAAGCCCCTTGTGTCGAAGATGGTCTTGACCACGCAGTATAACTCCCGCAGATAGGGTATCTCATCCATGTAGCCTTGCATGATAACTCTTGAGATCGACGTGTCGTTTGCAAGTACAATCTGAATATCCAAGCCAGACTGCGCGTCCTGCGCGCTGATGAGGGGATAACGTGCGTGACGAACCACAGGCAACAGATACTCCTTGTTGTTGCGGAATCCTGCATAGCGTAACTCCTGAAGCATCTTGATATTCTTGTTTCGCTGTGTTTGGCTCGGTGGAAGTCTCGCCTGCGCAGGGTCTAGCGACTCCGACTTTGGTACCAGTCTAAAGTCTAAGTCTGATAAAGGCATGCCTATACCAGTTCGTTCCGAGCCGAACACTTCAACTTTGTAGTCTGGGAGCCATTCTCGAAGGTGGTTGCGCACCCGTTCGACGACGTGTTTCCTGGCAAGAGTTTCGTGGTGGTCGGGTGTGGTGTAGTTGTAGAATTCTGTGATTTCCAAGCGCAAACTGGAGATGTCTTTAGCATAGCACTATCAGTTGGAAGGTCAGTTTCGAGACATACCGACTGACTCCTGGCAGCGCTCTGTCCTTCTCGTTCAGACACCATGGAAGTTGGCTTTCCTTGATAGACGTCTCGCTCATCATGGGCTGCACAATGACGCCCTTGTAACTTTCCAATTTACTATGCGCGTGTCTTGCGGCGGCCAGCAGTTTCTCATGCTCTTTGAGCAAGGCCCTGGGCGCTTCTCTTCGCAATTTTTTGTTTTTGGCAGTCGAAACCGCGACCTTGCTGGACAGCCACGGCCCTTTATCTGTTCTCATCATCCTCAGCTTCCATGGCTTCGCGGTCGGTTCCTTTTCCGGCTCTCTTGTTTCTACTTGAGATCTTTGGGCATCGCGAGCCTCGGGAGAAGTCGAGGATTCGGATTCGGCATGCTTGCCATGGGCGGTGGCATCATCTTGCGTAGCTGGCGTTGCAGTGGAGAGCTGGCGCCGGTCGCGGGGTTTGGATGGATTGGCTTGGACAAAGTGCTGCCACAGCGCAATTGATGGATTGAAGCGGTCGTGGGCGCGACATATCAGGCCGGTGTGCGAGCGCTGCATGAGACCCAGAGTAACGCTGGCGACTCGCAATGCGGTCACGATGGTGGTTTTCCTCACTCTACACGAATCTTCTCCATGCATCTTCGCGCGCACCGTGCCAAGCATCTAGTCCGCTTTGGGCCGACGAGGCTACGGCGGAGAATAGGCACTCCCGCGGGCATGCTGCACTGCCAATCGCTCTTGCATACACCCGGCGTTTGACAGCTTGACACGTCTATTGTTAGCCCTCCATCTGCCATGTCCGCTGTGTGAAGAAGCTGTGTGAGCCGGCCAGACTGGCCCCAGTACCCCGCAGGCAGAGGCCGGCCCACGATGTTGTCTCCGTCGGTCCACTTGCAGCACTTGCTCAGGCCCACACCCTCGTCCGATATGAAAGCTGCCTGACATCATATTGACATTCTCAACAAAACTTCGCGAAGCGGTCAAGAAGCGGAGCGCGTGGAGGCACGAGCAGTCAGTAATCGTGCGCTGCTATCCTTGCTTGCAGCAGAGACAGCGAGGCCCAAGCTGCTCGGTTCCAACGTCACAGCTATGGCTTAGTGGGGCGTGAACCATCCCACCACGGCCAGCTTTTCTCCCCCCATTGCCCTTCTCAAGTTTCTATCAGCTTCTCGACACACGTCGTGTCTTCGCGCCCTTCTCTTTTTCCCACACCCCTTCGTTTAGGTCCCCTAAATTCCCCTCGTTCTGTGACGCCCGCAGCGCAAGACCTTTGCGGAGCTCCTTCCTCTGACTATCTGGCAGTACAGCGACTCCAAGACACCAGGTAATACATGTTTCCACACCCATCTTTTGGTTGCGCCGCTCGCCTGCCACCTGACATACCTCTCTTACCTCTTATCATGCCTCCTGTCATCTTTGCGTCTACAAGTTCCTAACATTTCCATGTATAGCAGCATAACGGAACCTGCCTAATCCCATCATGGCCCCTCCTGCAGAGGAGAAGCCTCAAAGGCCTCAATTCGAATCAAAAGCAAGCACACATCCCGCACTCAACCCCGAAATTACCAATGTGCCCGTCACACCCGGCGTGCATCTCTCTGGTAAGACCGCTTACTTCGACGAGTCCACTACCGAGAAGACGAACAATCTGCCCTTCGATCCCGAGACTGCCACCCCAGGCCCATCATGGAGCGCCAACTCCTACTTCTCCAACAAGCAAAGAGAGGACCAGGCTGGCGCACAAACAGAGAAGGCCGCGGGCGCACAATCTGATGGAGAGGTCAAAAGCAAAATGGGCGACACTCCCAACCCAGATGCGAAGACTGAACTGGCAGATGTAGATCCGCGTGCTGCGCATCCTAATCTGAACCTCAGCGGTCGTGTTATCAGTGCGACGTTTGCCATACCCTATTCTATCGGCTACTCACAAGGTAACGACTGGGAACTGACCCCGCGACGCGGAACTTCGGCTCTGTTCGATTCCTTCTCCTACCTAGCCTCAAGTTCCTCTCCGTGGAACCACACACTTGTGGGCTGGACTGGCGAGATCTCCAACGCGAAGACGGCCTCTGTCGTAACCGCACAAGCACCTACGAACAAAGCTGCCGCACCCATTCCCGTCGACCCCAAGAAGCCGACACAAACTCCTCAAGCTCCAAATAGCTTCCGTATAGGCCCAGAGGATCGTGAACGATTAGACAAACAGCTCGAGCGTGATCATGGAGGCAGAATTGTGCCAGTCTGGCTCGTCGACGAGGTTGATGATGGGAAAGATGAATACATCCTGAAAAACCAGAGTCATTGGCGGACATACGCGGAAAACGAGCTCTACACTCTGTTCCACTACAAGCAAAACGAGCCGGCTGATGGGCGCGCTGCACGGAAGTCGTGGGCCGATTACTACCGCATGAACAAGCTTTTCGCAGACAGGATTCTCGAGATCTACAAGCCGGGCGACATCGTCATGGTGCATGACTTTTACTTGATGCTCTTGCCGAGCTTACTTCGACAACGCCTACCAAGTGTCTACATTGGCTTCTATTTGCACATCCCCTTCCCTAGTAGCGAGTTCTACCGCTGCTTGAGCCGGCGGAAAGAGATTCTGGAGGGCGTGTTAGGTGCCAACATGATCGGTTTCCAGTCATACAGCTACTCGCGACACTTCTCGTCCTGTTGTACTAGGATACTGGGTTTCGATTCGTCGTCCACAGGAGTCGACGCCTATGGTGCTCATGTAGCGGTAGATGTGTTCCCCATTGGCATCAACGCAGTCTCGACGCAACGACAGGCTTTCGGCGACCCAGAGATCGATGAGAAACTCAAAGACATCCGTGAGATGTATGCTGGCAAGAAACTCATTGTCGGTCGTGACAGGCTAGATGCTGTCCGTGGAGTAGTTCAGAAGCTTCAGGCATTCCAGCTATTCCTCGAGAAATACCCTGAGTGGGTAGGCAAAGTAGTACTCATTCAGGTTACAAGTCCTAGCGGAGTGCATACGGACAGAAGCGATGGCGCACAGGAAAAGGTAGTCAACAAGATCTCGGACCTTGCGGCCAAGATTAACGGCACATACGGTACACTTGACTTCACTCCAGTCCGTCACTTCCCACAATATCTTTCCCGAGAAGAGTACTTTGCTCTGCTCCGACTTGCAGACATTGGCCTTATCACCAGCGTGCGAGACGGCATGAACACCACCAGCATGGAATACATCATTTGCCAAAAGGATAACCACGGCCCGCTCATTCTCTCGGAATTCTCTGGTACATCAAGTTCCCTCAGCGCCGCAAGTCACATCAACCCCTGGGACATGGGCGGAGTTGCCGATGCGATCAACGATGCTCTGAAGCAGAGTGACGAACATCGCGCCAATGTTCATGCTCAACTTTACAAGCACGTCGTACAGAACAATGTTCAGGCTTGGTCGAACAACTACCTAAAGCGTTTGATGACGAATCTTTCATCCTTTGATCAAGCGTTCGCTACACCGGCATTGGATCGGGCAAAGCTACTCTTTCAATACCGTGAAGCCAAGAAGCGGCTTTTCATGTTCGACTATGATGGTACCCTGACGCCCATTGTCAAGGACCCACAAGCAGCTATCCCATCTGACCGAGTCATCCGTACTCTCAAGACTCTGGCAGCAGACCCTGCCAATGCTGTTTGGATTATCAGCGGCAGAGATCAGGCTTTCCTGGATGAATGGATGGGTCACATCCCCGAGCTCGGTCTGAGTGCCGAGCATGGCAGCTTTATGCGACATCCACGCAGTCAGGAATGGCACAATCTGACCGAAACTACCGATATGAGCTGGCAACAGGAAGTCATTGATGTGTTCCAACACTATACAGAGAGAACTCAAGGTGAGCTTTCTACGTTCTTCGCCAAGAAGTTTAGCACTAACAGATGAACAGGTTCCTTTATCGAACGCAAGAAGATTGCTCTAACGTGGCACTACCGGAGAGCCGACCCCGAATACGGCGCATTCCAGGCGCGTGAGTGCCAGAAACACCTCGAGAGGACCGTTGCAAAGAAGCACGACGTCGAGGTTATGACAGGCAAAGCCAACCTTGAGGTTCGTCCGAAGTTTGTGAACAAGGGCGAGATTGCAAAGACACTTGTGCAGAACTACGGCGAAGGTAGCGGTAATGCGCCTGAGTTTGTTCTCTGCATGGGTGATGACTTTACAGACGAAGGTATGTATTGCACTTTGAGGTTTTCTGACCATTCCGCTAATACGTATAGACATGTTCCGATCGCTGCGACAGTCCAAACTGCCAACGGATCACGTATTCTCGGTCACTGTTGGCGCCAGCTCGAAGCAAACGTTGGCAAGCTGGCATCTAGTCGAGCCTTCGGATGTCATTTCTGTGATCTCGTTGCTAAACGGATCAGCCGACGCAGGCAATGTTGGCGCGATTGCTGTTGTCGACGGAACGGTTCCTGAGTCTCGGGTGGTTGCATGAGGTCATAGGGCGAGGAGGCACTGACAAGCAATTTCAACTGTAATGGAGCACGGAGCATGGGGAGGCTATAGATCTACGAAATGCGGCATGGCGATCCCGGGGGTTTTCTAGCACTGGGTCTGGAAGAAGCAATCACATCCTATGTCATGATAGTCGTCCTCAGACTGCACCTGCGTGAAGGAACATCTCTGTGTCGCGATCGACGATGTCGATTGCTACCCGGTGGATAATTCTGCTGCATGGCGATTACCAATGCGCCCCTGGGACGAGCGTCTGCTGCCAAGGCGGTGGCGGTCGGCACGTCTGGGGCCTCGCCCAAGACCCCTGATTCCCACGTGAGAGCTGACTCGGGAGCCACGAAACCTTGGGATGCGAACAGTGGGAGCGTCGGGGGTTTTGAGCGTTTCGGAGAGATTTCCGCAGCACGCGAGAACTTGTAAGACGCCCAGGACACCAAGTGACAGCTCGCCGCACCTCGCAACAGCAATGTCTACGTCGGCAAGACAGGCACAGCACACGAAAGCGGCCCACGACTCACGATTCCGCAACACGGGCACGATGGCTTCTCTAGGCCTGGTATGTTTTGGCTTTCGGCTTTACTAGCCCACATTTATGCAACTTGGGGTTCGAGAACTGGCAGTGCATGAAACCTGGAACGCCTAGCAGTCGTCCCGCCCCAACAGCCTATCCGAGGGATGTTCCTCCTTCCTCTTGGAACTGCGTACCGTTGTCGTTGATCCGTCTTTTACCAGCCATTCCGTTCCTTTTTGACCACTCGTTATCCCTCCGCACTGCGTCGACACTCGTTTACCAGCTATACTCCCACCCACTTATTTTGAGCGACAATCTTATATTAGTGAAGCGCATCGCTGAATAACACAAATCAACACCTGGTCTGACCTCAATCCGATACTGCATCTGCAACAGCGCAACAGGGAACTGGCTGGCGAGCACATTGCGACATTACAACCGTGCCATATCTACAATACGCCTCTCCTTGGTATTCCTTCTTCGACAAACACCATATCTCTCGGCGCGCGGATAACAAGGCACAACAAATTCCACACAATACACAATGGGTCTCATGGAGAAGCTGCAAGCTCGTATGTCTTACCTCGCTTCGCCCTATCTCCTCCCGGCCCTAATCCTTTACGCCTTGGGACACTTTACTAACAGCCGCCCACCTTAGGCCTCGAGCTGTACCGCCTCGAACAGCGTTACACACGCCGTGAGAAACGCACTACTTTTATCAGCGAAGCCCAATACGTCGACGGCGAATATGTCTATGCCTCATCGCCTTCTTCAGCAAACTCATCCACCACCACAAGTAGCAAGCGCTTCAGCAAGATGCCTGCTATACGGATAAAGGAGCTTGGCCGTATGGGCACAGGACGATCGTAAATATTCTCTCGGATTCAGCTGCTCATTGCGCTCCTACATGGTCGACGATGATAGACGAATGTTTGCCCGCCCGGTCAGGCCGACAGAAACAACAGCATCACAGTCCGATTGAGGAAGAACGTGCGACGAAACAAACCTCACACAGTACTGGAGCACACCATGTACTCATGCCGTGAAGGAGTCGCACATGAATACATACGCCATGTGCAGAGACAGGAGACGACACGCCTCGCAACACCAGCGGGTGGAAGATGTAATAACGCAACGAAATTAACGCCAAAACAACTATCGACGAAGGACGGGAAGGCTAACAAAAAGTTCTTTGTACCACTTCATGTCGATATCTTCATTCTTTACAACACCCTTTTCCTTTTCTCCATCTACCTTTTTTAGTCATGTTGCGCTATTAGAATACCCCCTTGTTCAGTTACCACTGAAACGCATCAATACAAGTTTATAGGCAAATCAGAACCCTGTATGCAACTTGAAGTGGAAGCATTTTTGCAATCGAGTCTCTTTCATTGCATGACAAAATAAAGTGCATACTCGACCCTGTCCTTATGAAGACTTGTCCAATCTTGCTTAGCTTCTTGGTTTTCCTCTCTAGTAGTCAGTACCGCGGACTTTGTAAGGCTGATAGGTAGAGTACCAGACGGCGGTAGAACGGTTGCCAAGAGTAACGTGCAGATGCGTAGGGCGTGGGAACCAGAATGCGTCCGAGGGGTAAATGCAAATATGGGCGCAAGGCGTGTGGGCGTAAGGCGCGTGCAGATTGGATGCGACTCTGTAGATAGGCAAGGCGTGCGTGCACTTGCTTCTGATGTACGCAGACTGTATCTGTTGATACAAGAGTATCCTGAGAGTAAGCCGACAGACTGTCATCAAGCATGATCCATCCATTTTTTCCTCGTCTACTTCCGCTTGATATTGTACTTACACTGGCTACTGGAAAGATGTTCAAGAAGTCGAACAAGAATACGCCTGCGACGACGATCGTCGAACCGCACGACCAACATCTGCCCGTTAGGTCGGGCTCTCAAGAGAAAAGTATTGAGCATCCCAAAGACAGCATGATCGAAGTAACATCGAGTCTACCACCCATGGATAGAGGAAAAGATGCTTGGCTTTTTCTAGCCGCAGCCTTCACTGTCGAAGTCCTAACAGTTGGTGAGCCCATCCCAGCACACAGCACCTTTTCATACTAATCCCGCAAAATACAGGCTTCTCTTTTTCCTACGGCCGTTTCCAAGAACACTACAGCACCACGCCTCCCTTCTCGGGCTCTGATAATATCGCAGTCATCGGCGTTTTGAATCAAGGCCTCATCCTCATCAGCATGCTTCCCATCGTTCAACTCGCTCGCCGGAAACCGCATTGGGCACGCTGGATGGCAACAGCAGGTCTCCTCGGATGTGTCGTCTCAAACATAGCAAGCTCCTTTTGCACCAGTATAACTCAGCTCATCGGCACCCAGGGCATACTCCTCGGCATCAGCGGAAGCGTCGCTTTCTGTCCTCTTCTCATCTTCGCAGACCAGTGGTTTGACAAGCGCAAGGGCCTGGCGTTTGGTATCATAGGCAGTGGAAGCGGATTCGGAGGTCTCCTCCTCCCTCTCCTTATCAACGCCTTGCTTACCAGAGTGGGATTCCAGACTACCATGCGTATCCTGGCTGGTATGATTTTCGGTCTTGGGATGCCACTGGCTTACTTTGTGAGACCCAGACTACCGCCGGCTGCCACGGATACAAAGAAGCCATTCTGGAACTGGAGGCTTCTCCACTCACGATCTTTTCTCCTTCATCAAATTGCTAATCTCGTTCAGGGTGCTGGCTACTATCTGCCTGGCATTTATCTACCTACCTTCACCCGCCACGTCTTTGGCGCTTCGGATTGGTTATCAACTCTCTCGCTTATGCTCTTGAATTTGTCTACTATGATAGGGCTCGTCATAATGGGCTATATGACTGATCGGTTAAACTCCCGGAAATGCATTGCCATGTCCGCTGTGGGTGCTACTCTCTCTGTCTTCCTTTTTTGGGGCTTGGCCGTACATGTTGCTGTCCTTTTCGTCTTCTGCATACTGTTCGGATTGTTCGGGGGTGGCTTTCCCGCGGCTTGGCCGGCTGTTATGAGAGAGACAGCTGAGAAGGCGGAGGCAAGGGGTCTCGGTCATGTAGATACTATGCTGATATTCTCTCTGTTTTGTGTTAGTAGAGGGATTGGAAACATCGTCTCCGGTCCTCTGAGCGAGGCGCTTGTTGATCAGATGCCTTGGGAAGGGGATGCAATTGGCGCTTACGGAAGCGAATATGGTGGACTTGTCGTCTTCTGCGGAATAAGCTCTCTCGTAAGTGGCATGAATGCGTTATGGTATCATCGTTTATAAGAGTTGGAGCATTGCAATGTACAAGGAAGTTGTTTGTACTGTAACCAAATCCATTTCCGTAACACAGAAGAGAACATAGATGTTCTCACATCTAGAACTATGTCACCTTCATGTGCTACGCGTACGAATGGCCGATGACAGACTAAGAGACTACAGCTTAGCAACCACGTATCTCTTCATAGCCGTCTGAGGCACTCGGCTACTTCCCAGTATTACAAACTATATCGTTTACTCCCACTAGACAGATTCAAAAGGGAAACATTGTGCGAAGTGATCCGCATCTAGTTAGTCATTGGATCGCTAGCATTGCGAGCATGAAAGCCTTGCAGCATGGGGGTCACGTAAGCAGGCGAACCGCACTCACATGGCTCCCACATCACCGATCAATCAATGCAGAGAATAGATAAAAAGAAAGGACAGTGGAGTTACTACGATTGGTGGTGTGGAACTAATTGCGGATCCGCGGGCCAGATATGACCTGCATTGCATACACATGCACGCTAGTGGAAGAGGGTTGTGACCATTGATACTCACGCGGTGACCTTCGTACTCAGTGGATGAGAGAAGGTTTCTGAATATGGAATGAATGGTATTAATGAAGTACATTGCGCTAAGTGATAAGAACATTCGCGTAGGTTTGCTATTGAGTACGTGGGTGGCTTCTTTGGGGGTATCATCCGATCTATGGGTACTTTGCTCAAGTGAATGGGTTTGCCCCCTGATGTCTTTCCTTCTAAGTGGTGACTCCGAATGCTCATGAGAAACGATGAAAGTAAAATGCAACCCAAAGAGTGGGCAACGCTAAAGAACGAAGGATTGTCCACCTCAGTATAAACGCCCGGAAAATCAAACCCGTCTATCAGTATTTTCAGATGTCGTTAAAGTCGTTATGTTTCGATTTGGCGATGCGCCTCTAGTAGGGATAGGCGAGTGTGACGTGGACTCGTCCACTAAACGGTGTCGTAGTCGCTGAGAATGTCCTCTGGGTCCTCTGGTGGAAGCATGTCGATGGTATCGCTTGTGCGTGGGCCAGTGTACTTCTTCCTTGCATCGGCGTACCACCAGACCGTGCTGAACAAGCCAATGAAGGCTGCCACGCAGATAGCGTAATTCATGTTGTCGGCTCTGACTGGCTTCACAGTTGGGAAGAACAGCACAACACTAATGAAGATGACCCATGTCACTGCGATCGCGTTGACCGGCTTGCTCCATCTACCCATTGTGTATGGTCCAGGATGGAAGATGACGGTGTTTTCATACCATCGGTGTGCGATGATGACTGCGATGTAACTGATGTCCAGAGCAGGTGCTGTGATGTTGAAAATAGCCGTGATGGTGAGGGTGCTTCCGATTCCGATTAAGTCAAGACAGCTGCAGAAGATGACAACCAGCCATACTGCATTGACCGGGGTGCCTGTGTACGAATTGACCTTACTCCAGAAACTATGCATAGTCAGCTCCGATATAATAGCGCCGATTGGGGGCGGTCACTTACCCCGAGAATGGGAAGGCTGCATCGCGGGAAAAGGCCCAAGCCATTCTCGCGTTGGCCAACATGGCAGAACAGCCGGTGAAGAATTGGACCAACATGACGAAGAACCACATGATGGTTCCACCTGTTCTGCCACCGGCATTAAAGAAGATCTGGGCGACGGGAAGACCAGTCGGTGTCGCCATAATCTCGTCGTAGTCTGACATGCAGAAGCAAAAGGTGACTGTTAGCATCCATCCTACGACACCGGACACGAGGATCGCCGCTCGGATCGCTACAGGGCCACGAATAGCGGCATCGTGCGTCTCTTCCGACATGCTGTGTGACACTGATTAGATTGGCTGATACGCAGGATTGTAGGGCTGACCTACTGTGTTGTGCCGTCGTAGTCTGTCATTGTCCATGCAACAGAGAGGAAACTGTGTATGGTTAGTGACGTGTCTGCACACATGCATTGGTTAGGCATACCCGAGAAGGAAGGAAAATCCTTTGCTTCCCCAACCCGAGCCGTCCATTACTGTCGTAAACACCCATTGCGGGCTTTGTTTGTTCGGTGTGAGGATGAGAAGAGCGATGCAGATGCAGATTGATGCAATGACTACTTATTGTCAGACTGTGCCGAGACTAGCTTTCCAGTCCACTTACTGTTGATAGGTGCAAACCATAAAATGATGCGATGTAGCCAGTTCGTGGGGAACGAGCAGATTGTGCCAAACATGCACAATACGAAGATGGCGAGAAGGACAGTCTGATATGCTTGCCTGTATTGATCGGTAAGCTGCTGCAGGTCGTACAAGCGGGGTATGTCTCACGGCTCAAAGGCAGCTTCCCCATTGTCTAGGGTATGCATGACGGCGGTCGCCAGTATCATCTGAGAGATTGTGTATGCCAGACTTGCCACGCCAGCTGCTTGACCAAGGAAGTTGCACCACCCAATGATCCACGCCCAGGCTGCGACGTGCTCAGGTGGTACAACATGTTTTGTGACATAGTACATTCCTCCAGCGGTTGGGTATGCGGATACCAATTCGGCAACTTGATGAAAACTTAGCTAAGGTTCCTTCGGGGCTCTGTCCAACATACCTGAACTGGCTATGCAGTATGCCATGACACTGCCAATGAACCAGGCCCATACTGCTGTCGCTGGTCCGCCTGAACTCATCGGGGCACCGAAGGTTGCAGGTACCGAGCCCAATACACCTAGAATTGAGATGGCATATGAAACAGTAGACCATCTTGAGAAATGTCTTTGTAGCACCTGTACACTGTTGGAAGATGCCTGAGTGGAAGGCTTGGAGCACTTACTGGAGTGTATCCAATGCGTACCAGTAGCCTGTCGTCGTCATCTGCGATTGTGGCCATGATGCTTTGATTTTGATTGTTTCCTGCCGCTTTCGACTGATTGGAGGTGGTAGATTGGAGCGCTCTTTCTCCAACGCGCGGCGCGCTCGATCCTAGTTCTTTGGAGTCTGGATTGAAACCCATGGTCAATAATCAACAGCTAAGCATGAGAGGTTTGAAGAGAAACAAGAAGGGTCTCGGCGGCGGAAGCGTAGAAGGAATTTAGAAGGGTGTAAAAGACGGTGGGCCGTAGGCGGAGACACACTAGGAGGATTGACAGCCACGGCATAGACCCACAAACCCAGCTACCGGGGAGTTGATACTCGAAGTGGAAAGGGTGGGTGGTCGGGTGAATGGTAGTAGAAACATGGGAGGCGTGTAGTGGGTTATATGATGTCCTGGCTCTGTGAAACCAACCATGCAGAGAACGGTGCCAAAAACGATCCAGTAGCATCAATTTGCGAAATGCAACCTACAGTCAGGGTAATAATTTCAGAGCATTTGCCATGATGACACGTGCAGAGTGTGGTGCTCCAGGCGTGAACGTGGGAAAAGGCAAGTAAGGAGTGGGACGACAGGGTGCGAAAATGCAGCGAATAGCATGCAATCAGCTTCTTTCCACAGACGGGCAGATCCTGGAGTCGCTGAAGCGATTGTGGGTTTACGGTACTGTCATTTGCGCACGAAGACTGGTGCCGAACGTTTGAAGGAAGTAGCGTGCTCGAGCCAAGAAGAGTGGTGCCGCTTCGGCGACCCAAAGTGGCGGGCCGTTTACCTCGCATTTCTGACTGGGGTATACTCAGCCCTGGGAACAATGTGTAGCCCACCTCATGAGACGCTTGTGACGCCTGTCAAAGCGGCGTGGGTGATTCTTTTGGTAGCTTGCTGTGATTTCTCGACTTGGTGTCGCGAAACACAGTACCAAGGTAGATTACTCAACGCGCTCGCCCACACCGATTTCTTCCTTAATGTCCGGGCAGGAAACTGCCGCGGTCTAACACGTTCTTCAGAAGCTATGACGCAGCCCGTGGAAGTGCGGCTTGTCTTGCGTGAGCTCACGAGCGGTACGACTCGGGCGTTACTACGGTCTGCCTGTAACCGGTTCCCCCTGGCTGTTCGTAAGAAATCTTCATTTAAGCGGTGAAGACGAAGAAGTTCATTGGCCAGCGCGGCTGTTATGATACGATTGACGCTGGCCGAGGAGCGTACCTAATGAGGATGATATCAAGAAATTTTGTAAGCCTCTGGCTGGGCTCTTGCGGAACCTAGACTTCGGAGTCGCTCCATGAACCGCGACGGGAGCTCTCATCCGTAGCCTTGATCCCTGACTTTCGCCTGAAACGCTGGCCGGTATTCCTTGGTTGTTCTGTACACTCGACGATTTACTTTGAAGGCAAAAGTCTCGTTGAAAGCTTATCGTAGAAATCCTCGCTGTGTAACGTTTCCTAGACGAGTAGCATAAGCGACACATGCTTGCGATGCGGCACACACGCGTCTTGCCTGTAACAACCAATGCACATGTAACACGAACCCAGCGAGATCGTCAACGGAGATTTGCTTTTGATTACCATTACGCTGGGCCTCTCCTACTTCGCAAACTGTGGTTAGTCGCACGCCTTCATGCGCGCCACAAATATTCGAGGGTCCGTTCTGAACAGCAGCACGGATCGTCTCTGCTGCAACCAGCCACGATGAAGGATGGATCCGCAATATCGCCCTAAGTATGCACATGGCCAGGTGATCATGATGATTGTACCCAGGCCAGGACACCAGATACTCGCTAGACGTCTTGAAATGTTGGCAAGATCCGAAAGAGCGGTGGAAGCTCGCGGCTATTGATCCGTGGACCTATTCCAGGGTCCTCCTGCTCGAGTAAGTCCGCCTGACACGGAGTACAGCACGAAGCAGAGCCGTTGGGCGAATCGTCAGAAAACCTTGGTCTTTAACCTTTGTCAAGCGCTCACGGTTGCGACGGAAGACGATGATGCGCCGTAAGATGAAGATCCGCCTAGGATTTCGCCATGGGATATACCGATATCGCTTGCAGCTGCCTCATCGAAGAAACGGTTGCACATCGTCATCCTGTGTCGGGCTGTCGGTCGTGTTAGCATTCAGTGGTTAGCCTGGTACGGCGCAGATGTGAGCCGGGGAAGGAGCAGAGCCGATGTTTAGGGGCCCACTGTGGGCATCATCGCATTGCTAGCTGCAGCGCCAGTCCTCATGCTACCACTTGCTGTTCACATCATATTGACCGCGATTCCAACCGCAATCGCATTAGCAATTGCCCTTTCGAAGCACCGCCGATGGTAACAAGAACAGACGTCAGAGGTGTTCCTGCATCATGCGCAAGCAGCGCGCCTTTCGTCCGGCCGTATACTGACTCGCCCTGCTTCTCAGAGCGAATCTGGCGTCCCTTCTAGAAGATACCTCTTCCTTTCAGCGGTTTCACAATAGCGCCGAAGCCATGTGCGGACCCGTCCGTTAGGCCGGCGATCAGCCTGGCATCTAAACTGGCGCAAGCCCACACTGGGCAGCTTCTACTCCCATACGGTGTACAATTTCTAATATAGTAACTTGAATAATTCCTGCTTGGACTGACCGGATAGCGGCGCTCTTTCCTACATGCTCCAGAAGGATGCTAGCCTCGTTCAACACCATCAATCTGGATCTGAGGTTTGCCTAATCTTCATGCAAGCCTACAGAGACGACAGCACATAGCGCTGATCAGAACTCACCGATCGTACAAGGCGCTACCGATTTGAGTCATCTACAACAGCTTTCGCCCACACCCTCGAATCCATAGTACAGCCGATATCGACAACGCAGAACCAAAACGAAGCAACCAATCCAAGAGTACCTTGTATTGCTGGCTCAAATAGGCTTTGCGTCCGTCTGTACCGTGGCGAGCGTGACCATATCCTATCCGGTACACGCTTCTGAGAAAGATGTGCAACCAAGATGATTCGAAAGCAGATAACCCAATGCGAATCAGGACTGAACACGTAAGACAGCGGATAAACGGCGGAATGGAGGTTCAGGACGCTTCAAAGCATAGAAAAGGAAACAAAGAAGGCCCGAGATGGTTGTACATCTGACCAGAAATCTGCGTCCACACCTAGGTTAAAAGGAAACGACCTGCCTCCGCGGAGTGAGATATCCGAAAGTAAGACGACAATGCCAGTTGGCCTCCCAGAGGCATGTGAAGTAGATACGCGAGCGTGTCTCCGACCGAGGTTGGGAGAGCTATCGCTTGTAAAGAAAAAGGAATAATTACGAGTCGTCCGCGGAACACAAGTTCAAGATAGGAAAACCACTTCGACATCCAGGACGGCGACATTGGTACAGCAGTGATGATATACCCGTCATGATAGACGCATGTTCGGTACGCTCGTTAGGGTCCTGTCGATTTCCTGGAATTCAACACACCTTGCAGGATGAGAGTCGTAGTGTGACGCTTCGTTCCCAGCGCATCGAGCAAGCGCACATCAACGAGGTTGCCAGCGCGACAAGCTCTACTAGGCCAGTGTATCGAGATCGTCTGGTGAACATTGAGGATCATGTGTGCGAAGTATAATACGGGCGCGAAGCTGACAGAGACAAGACTGTTTGAGATGTTGCAAAGATCCATTCATGTCAATGCAAGGACTATATACGATTGCGAATATTTACAGTGAAGTGTGTTTCATCTCAGGGATACTGATCAGCGAGTCACCCGTCTAGCAGGTGAACTTCTTTGGGCCAGGGATGGTGTAGGTGGAGGCCTTGTAGGCATCGTAAGTGATGCCAGCGTCAGAGCCCTTGTAGGCGCCGGGGAAGGAAACAAGACCACTGGGCTTTGTGCTTCCACCACCAGTGACCTTGAGCTGATGGCAACCAGGGTAGAATTGGGCACCAGGGTACTGGTACGCGGCATGTAGCGCAACAATTTCGTGGCGAACGAGGTAGTAGCCAGGGGCAATGCACTTGGGGATAGTGTAGGTGACGGAACCGCCAGGAACCTGGAGAGCGTCGGAGCCCCAGACATCTGAAGTGCCTTGACGGCCATCTTCCTGGACCTTGAACCAGACAGCACTGTCACAACGTTAGCACGACGAAAGTTGGACGAAAGAGAGTGTCACTTACGCAGACTCGGGCATCCAGTCGTTACAGCCAGTGTCGGGGCACTTGGCCATGTATGTGATGGTAGGACCCATATGGCTCTCAGGCCATAGCGTCCAGAAGAGCTCAACATCAGAACCAGCGGCAGCCTCAGCATGCAGGGCAGCAGGCTTGGAGCCGTTGATACCACCAGCAGCGTAACCACCGCATTGGATATCAGAGATGGCAACGTCCTCAACAGGTCCGTTGCCCTGGATGGGACGCGAGATACGCTTCACGTCGGTCATGTAAGGGTCCTGGTAAGGCTGGTAGAAGACGTATTCCTTGCCACCGATGGTAGCGTTGTTGACATAGCCGTGAGCTGCAACGGCAGTAGCGAAAGCGAGGGCGGAGGTGATGTACTTCATGGTGGAAACGTTCGATTCGAAGGACTTGAAGAGAGAAGTGAAAGTGTGTTGAAGATACGATCCTGCGTAATGAGCGTGGTATAAGCCGAAGAAGTGAAGGACTTTTTAAGTTGGAACAAAAGAGTGAATGGATGCAATGCGATCGGTACTGAGTGACCTGGATGCCGGAATAGATTGCTCGAGGTTGCAGCTCTTATAGTACACATGGTTTGCTCGGTGGTAATTACTCCACGACACAGGGCTGCTGTGCGTCACACAGGATTGTAAAATGTTTGAAACTTGCCATGGCGATGCATGCTGGAGGGCGATCATGAAGGAGGGTGCGTAGATTAATCACGGCACGCTAGCGACACATGGTGGTCTTGGTGACTCCACAGTTCCCCTTTGAGGCTTGATCTAGCCGTTGTCCCCGTAAAGGAACACGTTGGAAGTAAGCGAGATGAGTGTTGGTAGTAGAGTCTCTTGTCAGACGTCATATTTATCGAGTCCAAGCAAACATGCTTTTTGCGAGGAAACAGAATCAAGGGCGATACGCCACAGGGCGGCGGTTGCGGACGAACTAGAGTGGAGTCTCGACCGTCTTTGAAACATGGCGTGCAAAACATGTCAACGACGCTTGCGATTCACGATTGGTGGACATGAGTAGATGCTTGGTCGTTGTCTCAGATTAGAGATGGCATACACGTGATTGCGGATGTCGCTACCGGGTTATCCTGCGTCGTCGGAGAAATTAATTTGTATGTTATATAGAGAAAGCCGGGTTGCCGGTCGACATTGTGTCACGATGCCACTACCTGAATGCCGAACGCCTTAGATTGCTGCGGGATTGCTGCGATGCGGCCCGGGGGGTTGGGGATAGGGTTTGGAGCGGACGCCATGTTAGATTGCGATGCGCTGGACAAGATCTTGGCTTTGGCTAGAAGGTGTGGGCGAAGGAATCCGATGAAAGTCACAAATTTATGTGCATGGTCAATGTGAGGTCAGACACTCGGTGCTGCGTTAAGTATATAAGTAACAGTGTCGAGAGTTGCGTTGGGCTCATAAGGCAGCTGACTATCATACTCGTGCGACCAAGGCTTCGGTGACTATGTAGCACATTAGCAGATACAATGTTTGCATGACATCACTGAACACAGTCTTGGCTCATACTCATGAATGAAATGCAGAAGCATTCATAGGCATCAGAGAGTAAGTATTAACACAGCTGCATGAAGTAACCTGCAACCTATCCATGAACTCCGAGTTATGGCCGCAGACGTTGGAGTATGCCAACACCATGCCCTGAGCTCCAAAAAAAGATCGCCATCTACCCATGTCGTGATTTCTCTAATATCCAGTGGCACCCGGTGCCTTCTCATCTTTCTTCAAGCTGAGCAGTAGTTCTCGGAATCGGGCCTTTTCGCTACCTGATGCGCCGCCCTTGGTGCCCTTTCCACTCAGATCAACCAACTTGGCGATGCGCTCCCAGCTGGTGCCGCCTGCAGTGGTGTCGTCGCGGTTTGCGAGGAACTCCTCAGCCTCCTTTCGTGTCTTGGCAATCTCCTTGTCCTTCTTGTTGTTGTAGTTCTCGTAAAAGTCGTCAATGTTCTGCTGGGCCTCCTTGATCGTCCTCTCTTTGCGCTCGTGGGAAACCTCGTCGCGGTGCTGGATCTGGAGGTCGCGGCGCTCGCGCCATTCCCGAATGACGTCGGGTTCGGGTGAGTCTGATCGCTGTGGGGTGAAGGATGGGGCTGGTTGACCGGGGAGGAAGGGCAAGCTGGAGCCTGTGATGGTGCCGCCGGGAGCCATGTGCTGCTGAAGTCAGTAGGTTGCGCCAGAATATGGTTGTTCCATGGTCAGTCAGATCCCAGCTGGCAGAGGGAGTAATTGTACATCGAACATGCCAGATCGCATCCTTTCGCGGGCTGCTGTCAGGGAAGCAGACGGTGCTTACATCGTTGGTCGTGTCGATGGCGGGGAAAGAGCTCTCGAAGCCGCTCATCTCCTGGCCGCCCACGTTGGCCTGGCTGAAGTCTCCCCCAAGCAGGTCATCGTCGCCATCCTCAACCGTCGCGGCCCGGTCGTTTTCTGAGGCAAACTGGTCGGCATCGTCTCCGAGGAGAGCGCGTTCACGGTCCAGAAAGTTGCTGGCATCGTTGTCATCGCCGGCAATGTCGAAGTCTGCTGCATCGCCGCGCGCTTCAGTCTGGCCTGCGAGGTTTAGCATTGGATGCGGAGCTGCTTCGGGGGTTCAATGGCTGAGCTCACCAGCATCAATCTCGTCTAACGAAGGAAATCGGTCGGCCATTGTGAGGGTGGTGTGTGCGGTGGGTATCGTGAGAGGGGAGAATACAGAATTGGCGACAGTGGATTGCGTACAGGTGTCTTGTTGTTGCGTCAGGCACAGTTACCGTCCGTCACGGCCAGGGAGCTGCTTGGCGCGACCGAGCCACGTTTAGCCGCATACCACTTAGCGTCAAGAGCTTCCCTCACCTCCAGCTCTCTCTTCCATTCCCATCCCCAACACACGTCATCACTGTAGTCGCGAGCACTCGCAAAGCATATATCGCACGCTGAAGGCTTCATCAACACTGCTGCCATCACTTGCATCGCCGCAACTTAACTGTCGTACTAGTCGCGTGCGCGCCGTCTTTCAGTAGCTGGCTGCAGCTTTTATTCGTGAAGACTCTAATCATGGCTTTCACCGAGGACAGCCTCAAGGCAAAGCTCTCATCGCTCAATGAGACGCAGGACGCCATCTCCACCGTTGGTCAATGGATCCTCTTTCACAGGTAAAGCCTTCCATCTTCTGCCAAGACCACATTGTGAGGTTGGCGCAATCACTTTGTCTGCATCCATGTGCTTCACGCGACGGACTTATGCTAACCGCACGTGTACAGACGACATGCCGAGCGCATCGCCCAAGTATGGCTCCAACGTATGAAAGAGGTGCCGCCAAACAAGAAGCTGGTTCTCATCTATCTCGCCAACGAAATCACGCAAACCTCCAAGATGCGCAAGAAGGAGGAGTTTTTGCGCGCATACGAGCCCATCCTGGCCGAAGGGACGACAGTAGCCTACAAAGGCTCCCCCCACGAGATACAGAACAAGATTCGGAGAGTAGTCGAGGTTTGGAGGCAGCGCAATATCTTCAACCAGGCTGTACAGCAGGCAGTAGAGAGGTCAATAGACGACGTTGATCGCACCAAGTCTACGCGCAAACCTGCTCTTGGCGGATCGCTCTTCTCCAGCTCGACAGTTCCGCCTGAACTCACGCCTGTCGCGCCGCTGGCCACCACCCTCCAGAAAGCCGACCTCGCGACAAAACCCGCCGTCACCGCCGCCAACCAGGACTATGAGAAGCTCACCAACCCGAACGCTGCGATTCCATCCCCGCCCATGCACGCTGCAGGGCTCGCTGCGCTCTGTAAGAAGCTTGCGCTGGCCGAAGGTGCTGTCGCTGAGAGCATCAAGGCACGCAAGGCCCTGATCACCGGCCTTGAGCAACTCCTCGAGACGAACAAGAGGAAACTGGTTGACGAGGAGGCACAGGAGGCTGACCTGAAGACGCGCAAAGACGCTATAGAAAGCCGAAAGCGCGCCGTCGAAGAAGCCATCCTCAAGGGCTTGTCAGCGGCAGAGCAGAATAGGATCTCGACTGCGCCTCTTCCAGTTGCTACGACCTCGCCGGTCGCTGCTACCTTCTCAGCTGCGCAGGAACGCCCTGAAGTCGAGGAACTCACTCCTCCGCCTATGGAGTCCTTCACGCCTGTTGGATCCCCCCAGCAAGCCCCCGCACCCAGAAACGACCCCGTACCGGCCATCCGCGACGACGAAATGCCTCAACCCGTTGCTCACCCTGTCGTGCCAGAGACTGCCCCTGCGCCCGCACATCACACAACCCAGCCAGAGTATGCAACCGCAATTGGCGAGCTGAACCAGCACCCAGCCGCAGACCTCCTCAAGAGCCTGCAACACGCGCGACCAGGTGCCGAAGGTGGTGTCTATGGCCAGCAAGCGTATGAGAATGCGCACAAGAAGAGGAAGATGAGCAGGAATGCGGACGATGACTTTGCCGCATTCGCTGGCGACCGAGACATGGCCGGTATTGACGACAACTTTGCCGAGCTGATTTAGGAAAGCTGTTGTCTCAGCATGGCCAGAGGAGTTGGTTGTTTGTAAGCATATCTGAGGCAACGAATTAGACGTACGGATAGCTATAGGGGAAAAGTCAAAAGGCGCACACATGTAGCTCAGAGCACATGGCCATGTCGAAAATTGTTATTCAAAGATACCAGGATCCATCATAATGTACAATTACAGCATTCATGCTACCCCATATGTCCGTCGTCATAATTCATTCTAGCATCGCAAGCCGTCAATAGGCGCGCATCTCACGCCTGTCCTGGCATCTTCCTGTTCTTCTCAATCTCGCCCATAATCTGCTGACCCTCCTCGGTAGTTGCGTCAATAACGCCCTCCTCGAGGCTCAGCATGCCACCCTGACCCAGCTTCTCTACCACCTCTTCCGCCTCATCCACACTCATCTTGGCTAGTACCTTGTTTACCTCGTCCAATTTCCCGCTCTCAAGCGCTCGCTGCAATCCTGGTGGGAAGCTTTCGAAGATCTGCCTTGCTTGCTCTTCTGCCTCTTTTTCTTGGGGGTCTGTAGCAACCGACTCCTTGGGCGGAACAGAAATGTTGATTTGCGTGTTGGGGTCTACGGCGTGGAGTTGGATCTGCTCTACACCTGCGCCTTCCGACTGTGGGTTCTCAGCGCGTTCTTTCAGGATCTCAGCAGCGCGTGTCTTGATACGGTGGTATGTAGAATCCACATCGTCATTGAACATCTTGCCGGCCTGGTGATCTTTCGTTTGTATGCGCTTGAAGAAGAGCTCCACGCCTTGCCGGCCACCAAGTTGACGGCAGTACTGCAGCAGAAGACCTTGGTGCACGCATTGTCTAGCGTGTTTTGGCTTGCCATCGAGTTCGGAATTGAAGGCTTCGACAAGGAGTCCGTCGGTCTCTTTTTCGGCCAGGATCTCTGGGTGCGCCATCAGGAATTGTAGACATGCATACCAGTCTCCGACTTTTATCTTTGCAAATTGCTGCGCGAGGGGTGAGGCGGTGATGTCGTCGTCGTCATCTTCCGGGGAGGCTTCAACGACGCTCCCCTCTTCGATGTCGCCATCTGCGCCCGATGATTGACCTGTGTCTGTCCGGGTGGCTGCAGGCCGTTGCGGGTTGTTAAGCAGTTCGACTGTGGACTCCTTCTTCGCTATTGTCGAAGACGACGCGGCGGCGGCCTTCTTCTTCTGCTCTTCTTCCGCCTTCTTGACGTTGGAGTAGCTGAAGCCCTCGTGGATGTCATCGCTAGTAATGTGCTTCTTGTCCTCCTTTTCCAGCTCGTCCAGCTTTGCCAGCAATTGACCCTGGAGATCTTGTATGCGCGCCTTCTCCTTCTCCAACCCTTGTATGAACAGTGTGTACCGTGGCTCGTCGCTCTTCTGCTCGTCAATGTCCTTCTTGACCGCGTCTACTAGACTCGCCATCATCTGTGGGTACGTGGGCTTGTCCTTGATATGCTCGTGAACGCCCTCTGGTGGTGGTGGCGGCCGATCTGAGCCGCCGTCCTTGTCGATCTTCATGTCCATCATGCTCTCCATCATGGCCTGGAAGACGAGCTGGTCGTCATTTGCGCCATTTCCCTCGGCCTGCTTGTCCTTGTGCGACTTGAGCGCGGTGAGGAGACGGTCGACGCGTTCGGTGAGGCCATCGTTGATGATGCGCTCATACTTGAGGGTGCGTATTTGGTGGCGGCGATGGTCGCGTTCCTGGTGTATTTGGGCTTGCTTTGCGCGAATGAAGGACTTTTTGTCCACGTTGGGGTGTACTTCGATGTCGCTGTCGTCAGAGAGCTCCAGGGCGTCCTGATGCGATGTCAGAAGCTGCTGCCGCGGAATCACAGAAGCGCATGACTCACCCATTTGCTGTAGTTGATCACCATCTTGGCTGAGATCTGGGTCGTGTGCTACAGGTCGGTGCTTGTGTTGCTACTCGAGGCTGCACGGTGTTTAGTACGATTGCGGGGCTGAAGTGGCATGTCGCGTTCGGACCACACTTCGTCATCGAGAATCTTCGACCAACTTCACTTTCACTCCATGTCATCCTTCACGCAGCGCTGCTATCTCCAGCAACGTCTCACTTCGCAGACAAAATGTCACGGGTACAGAAATTCGGTGATAGACCCGTATCTCAAGTGCAGCCTCGGTTGGACCATCTACTATCTTTGTGTCGGTCTCGTACGCGAACTGGAAAAGTGCCTCCGGTCCTTCCTGATGATCAACTTTGAGAAGCATCTCCTGGTTTTTGGCTTCCCTGAAGTTTTGCGATGCCTCCAGGAACACTTGCTTGCAGCACTGTATCAAATAGGAAAAGTAAACATCCCTTTTAATAGGAGTACTCCTTCGTATTGCAATAAGGCATATTGAGAGCTGTTTTGATATAAACAGAGAATCTAGAAGATTACAATACGATTAATTTTTGCAGGTTTTCTTGTTAGGAGATGATATAGGCTATAAGGTAGAGCTTGTTATCTCTGTACCTGTCTAGTTTTTTTTCTTGTATAGGTGCAGAACAAAGAGCAAGGCGATGGCCGTAGTCGATAGTGACATCCAAGCGTGGCAGGCTTTACTACCAGATAGAGCTGGTATGAGACCTTGGTTGAACTGGTTTGTTGGTAGCTTTTTTGCAAGGGTTAGGCCTGGGATTGGCCATGACTGCAAAGTTGACAAAAGAAGTATCACGAAGGGTACAGTCGTAAGCATGGCCAAAATTGGAATGCTTAGAGTACGTTTTACTCGATGGTTGGCTATGTTGTGGCTGAGGTATGATCATCTTGTATTGCAAAATCGCTCATATATATGCAGCTCCGATGGTCACTTGCAACCACTAAAGACGAAGTGAAAAGTGCGCCGGCGGGTGTGTTTATGTTCATGATATTGAATGATGTTGCTAGGACATGAAACTTCAGGTATAGTTGACGGCCGGGAATAACTTGTAAGAGCGGTACGCCGAGACGTGCGTCTGCATTGAGTAAAACTTGCTCTCGAAATATGGTACCTGTTGCTAACATTCATCCCATATTATCAAATCACCAGTAACTATAGAAACAATCGAAGGCAAGAGCTGAGGTAAAAAGTTGTCCATGAAGAGGATAATCTTTCACGTTCCAGTAAGACATCCAAGATACCTGAAATTAGGATGTGCTACACGCACTGATCAAGTTGAGTAATCGTCAAGGGTGGGGAGCTTCCCAGAGTCACTGTAAAATGAGCCGCATCCTGAACGCATTGATGAACACGGGTTGGCGAATAGTGGTGTAGAGATACGGGAGATGGCTGGAGAGAACTATCGGAGAGGTGCGATGACACGTCCCGGTCCTCGGAACGCTAATCAACGCGCTTGTCACTCAACAGGCAGGAGAAAGCCCACATCAAGCTTTTTGGCATCCGGCATCGAAGACTTGTCAACGGCAAGCTCCAAAAGCTTATCTTTTTCTCCAATGACAGTCACACGTGCGATCTTGCCGCTTCCGCCCCTGCGTTCATGTTTGTCTGACGGCGTGGGTGGCGCAGCCGACGCGATCTACATTCGCGTACCTGCCGTCAAGGCTGTATAAGAAGACGACAGCCTACTTGCTTACTGCCGCGCACTGCCATTCACTCTATTTTGACAATGCGGTCTTTTGCCTTTGGCGCTTTCGTCTCCATAGTAGCGCCTGTGTTGGGCTGCGAAGGTCATCACAGCTGCTACGGACCGTTGAAAGACGATGTCGTCCTGACCAGAAACGTTCGACGCATGCAACCGGACGCGCAGAACGCGACCACAACACCCAAGGCGCCTCTCGAATGGGGCCAAATCAACTTTATGCATACTACCGACACTCATGGATGGCTTGAAGGCCACATCAAGGAGCAGAATTATGGTGCGGACTGGGGTGACTACGTTAGCTTCACCAAGCACATGAAGCAGAAAGCTCGGAGTCTCGGTGTCGACCTGCTTCTTGTAGACACAGGGGTTAGTGTCTCTCATGATGCCCTGGCGACGATCAGGGCCACGCACGTGGTTGAGAAATATAGCAATTCCACTAACATACGACAGGACCTGCACGATGGTGCAGGATTGAGTGATGCAACGTCTCCCAATGGCAACATTTCGAACGTTATCTTCGAAAATGTCGACTACGACTTATTGACCATTGGAAATCACGAGCTCTATGTTACCGAGATCGCCTACGAGACCTTCAGCAACTTCTCCAAGGTCTACGGAGACAAGTATCTCACCAGCAACGTACAGATCATCAACCCAGCTACTGGCCAGTTCGAGTACATCGGATCTCGTTACCGTTACTTCACCACCGAACAGGGTAATTTGAATGTCTCTGAGAGTGGCTGAATGCTGATATAGACAGGGCTCCGAATCATGGCTTTTGGTGTTCTCTTTGACTTCACTGGCAACAGCAACGTCTCCAAGGTTATCAAGGCAGCCGACATGGTGAAGCAACCGTGGTTTCAACAAGCCGTGAATTATACCGAGCCGATTGATCTGTTCGTGATCACTGGTCACAACCCGGTACGGACAAGTGTCTCCAGCAGCACGATGGGCACTGTCTTCAAGGCTATTCGCAGCATCAAACCAGACGTGCCTATTCAAGCTTTCGGTGGACACACGCACATCCGAGACTTTGCTGTATACGACAACAAAGCTACGGGACTTGAGTCTGGTAGGAACGTGTGACAAGTTCTGATGTACTTATCTAACATCATTTCAGGTCGTTACTGTGAAACTCTAGGTTGGCTCGCTATGTCCGGTATCGAATCGAAGACCTGCAAAGCACAACACAACCCCAAGGGTGTACCAAATCCTACTCGTAGCGCGGTAGTACCAGCGAGTACAGGGACTGCATCTGCCAGTGCGCATCTGCCTACATCTTCTTCAAACTCCACAATCCGCTACGCTCGGCGATATCTTGACTGGAACCGTAACACGTTCGCTTATCATGCTGAGAACAGTCAACCCTATACCACATTTGACACATCTGCTGGCACTAGCATCAGTGCCGAGATCACTTCAGACCGAAGCAAGCTCAATTTGACCGATTTGTACGGGTATGTGCATTGACTATTGGCACGATCTAAGACGTCGACTAAATCTCAAACAGTTGCGCACCAGAGACATACTGCCAGTACTGCAAGCCTTTTCTGGCTGAAGGTAACATCTTTGGACTGCTACAGACTGCATTGGCTACAGTCGTCGTGAACGAAACGCGCAAGGATGTTCCAAGACTCATCATTATCAACACTGGATCTGTTCGCTTTGACCTTGCCAAAGGTCCCTTCACATACGATGACTCTTTCATTGTATCTCCCTTCGATGATGCCTTCCAGTTCATCCCCGATGTACCCTACGAGCAGGCTTCTCAGGTACTTGGTATACTGAACGCTGGTGCCTTCCAGAAGAAGAAGCGGGATCTTGAGACCGCCGACTTTGGATTCATCCCCATCCTCGCAGACCGAGACACCTGCCTCGACCCGCCGCTCACTCACCACTACGAAGGGTTTACCCGCCGATCGAAGCAAGGTGGACGTCTTATCCGCCGCCAATCTACTGCTCCTAATCCAGGTTATACGACAAAAGACGACTTCGGTACCGATGGAGATGATACAATACACTCGGCTATCCCAGACTACTCGCAACCCAACGACCTTCAGGCCAATGGCTCTTTTCCGCTTGATGGATCCATGCCAAAGACCGTTGATCTTGTGTTCTTGGATTTCATTGCTAGCTACATTGTCAACGCTCTAAACCAGCCAGATGTTGGAGGAGACTTCTCGCTCAGTCAGGTATCGTACTACATGGACAAGAGCTTTACTACCAACAGCTACCTACCAGCGTATGCTAAGATCGCCTGGCAGGCGAATGTACCAAACTGCCCTGTCGGAGAGGGAATTGGTGCCTCGTAATGTACAAAGTACTAACCGAGATATTACTGTACTTGTACAACAGTGTATGGAATGTGAACCGTGAGGAGATCGTCAGTATAAGAATAGCCATAGCAATGTCAAACCAGCGCTTCCGCATGTGTTACAAAATACAACCCCAGGCCATGCTTCTCGCAAGATGAAGAAGACGTCAAACCAACTACTCAAAGTCTGCGCCATTACCCTTGGGGCTTTTTCGGGCTCATGACACGAAACCTTCGATCCTTTTGTGGGATGATCACTCGCTGTCAACGAAAGAAGTTAAATCGCAAGGCGACGAGCTCCTTCGTGCAGTGCGCCATACTTCTCTGAATGTATTCCAATATACTATTCGGCATGAGCCAAGGTTCATGAATCCTCTATCAATGAACAAAAGGCCCTTTCAAGCTGCCGAAAGACCCGAACTCCTCCAATTCTAGATATCGTCAGGAAACTCCCAGGGGTTTTTGCAGCAAAAGACAAAAAGAAGGTTAGTGTGACGCGCTAACGACGCGAGCACAGTCCACCCGCCTGGACAAGAACCTGAGGCAAACAGAACCATTTCTCTCACACTACCCGTTTGAGAGTTCATCCCGTACCAATACTCCGCTGTCTTATCGCTCAATGGACCTATGACAGCTGTAGCGCATGCAGCATGCGCCACATGCACAGCAGACTAGGCCCGACATGTGAGTATGCGACGCGAACCACGGGCCGAGGAGCTTAGGCCTACCACGCGTGGTGCAGCTTTTCTCTACGAAAGCAACCTGCCCACGGCAAAAACGCAGGTACCGTGTCTGATTTCTATAGCAGACTGAAGCTAGCGTTGCTTGGCTATGCTGGTGGTGCAATGAGTTGAGTTTAATAATATGGCTGATATCCGATCTTCGTAGGGGTAGGTATCTTCCGTTTCCTCTTTGTGGATTCTCTCCACAGGTTTGCTTCTATATCTTCGTCGTTTACACTCGCTGGCGAGGGTTCTGAAGTTCGGTATACGCTCCTTGACTGCCGTTCGTTTCGTTATATCTTTTAATACTCGTCTTATCGTTCTTGTGCTACTTGGGCGTCATTTCCTACAGATATCTTTGCAGATCACAGGCACTCCTTCCACTCTTTACTTGACAGGCTTTACGCACGCGATATGCAACTCTCTAGCCTTCGTGGCACTTTGGTGGTTTTCTTAATCGCATACCTTAACACCGATGTTGCTGCGATCTCGAGAGATGATCTCGAGACACACCGGCTGCTGCGAGCGGCTACGAAACGGTCAGACCTCTACAGGAGAGGCGTGAGGATCACCAAGAGATTTGAGACCGAATTGTCTTACGTTGAGAGTATGCTGGAGTCGTCACGTCCTTCCACAATATCGCTAATAGTGCGCTAGATGAGAACGTCTGGAATGACGAGTCTACATTTGCTTCACAGGTCAAAGTCAGCTCGCAGAAACCTCTGCTCAATTTGGAAGAGCATGAACACCATCTGCAAGATGTACAGTGTGACGACGACACGATGAAACTGCACTTTGTAGATACTTCCTCAGCACGAGATGCCCGATCGGCTTGTCATGGTGCTCATGGAGGCCTAATTATTACGTCACATAAGAGCTGTAACAAGGAAGGTGAACGATCGGTATATCAGTAAGCTTCTGACAAGTATCTCAAAGACTTTCTCTGATGATCCCAGGGTATATGATGTGTCATTCGCTAAGGATGGAGAAGCCCTTGAGCTATCCGTCTCGAAGACGACATGGCAAGCAGCATTTGACTACGTGGACATCTCATTTGGTCACACTACGGAGAACCACGTATACCGGCGCCATTCCGACTTTACGAGGCTCCGCCGCAAGCGACAGAATAGGATCGACATACCTGCAGACACTCCCGACGATGTCAACACTGTTGCCTTTGACCTGGGATCAGAGCTTCTCAACAAGACCTTCGGCCTTGAATCCTTCTTGTCAGCGATTTCTCCCGGCAACCCAGTGCCCGAATCATCGGTACCAATTGAGATTGGATGTAAGAGGTGTACGACAAGTGGACAGCTCGCTCTTACACAGGGCGCCTTCAAGATTGACGCTTCACAAATTGATCTGATTCCGGACACCTTCGAAGGAGGAGATGATGGGAAGGAAATCACGAGTGTGATTACTGGTGGCTTCGTCGAGCTTGTGGCTACTGGTGTTGGTGCACGACTTGAGTTGTTTGCCAGACCAGTCAGCTCTGGTGAATTCGAGATCACCTTGTTCCAGGTTCCAATTGCTGGTTTCGTGATTCCTGGCGTTGGCAAGGCTGGAGCTATCTTTGAGCCAAGGATTGCGTTCGACTTTGAGCTGAGCGGTACACTCGAAGTCAACTACGGGCTTGAGGTCACGGTATGTATAGTCTTCTGGATAATCGTGGCCATTTGATACTGACGTTATCAGGTTCCTGATGGTTCCAGCCTCCGAGTGGAACTTACGGATCTTGCCAGTAGCAGTCTCACTGGTTTCCAGGAGTCCAGACTCACTCCGTTGCCTGTCGAAGTCAATGTGACTGATGCAGAGATTCTACTCGGTCTCGCCTTCGTACCTTCGATACCGATTGGGTTCGAATTCCTGGATCAGCTGAAGGCTGAAATAACACCTTCTTTGCAGTTACCCCGTCTGGACGCGAAGCTATCGAGCAAGATTGCAGAGAACTGCGGTAATGGCAGTAACAACACTCATTCAGATGCGCCATTTGCGAACCACACGGCAGGACTATCCCCCGAACTCATCAAATTAGGCCCTCTGGCCTTGGTCGAAGCAAACGTCTCTCTTTCGATCGATATCGCTCTAGACGTTTCCTTGCCACCCCTTCCACCACCTTTCAATGCAGTTGGAATTGAAGAGAATATTTTCACGGCAGTCTTCCCTTTGTTATCGTCCTGCGCATCGCCCGACGATGCTTTCAACAACGCTACAGGCGTCGTAATCCCTCCCTCAATGGCTAGCCACAACGCCACGGCACCGATGCTGAACGCTACCATGGGAATGGCGCGTGCTGATAACACAGCCGCACTTGTCAGTGAAGAGGCGGCGGCTCCGACACTTGACCCGAGCATCTCTTTTATATTCGCTAGTGATGTGGTGTCTTCGACTTCGGAGTTGGTTGCTACTTCGACGCCGATCAGCACTATCTTGTCAGCAACCTCTCTCACAAGTACTACACCGACGCTGATAAGTAGCACGAGGTCTAAAACCTATCTTGCAAAGACTACTTCGACACGGGCAAGTTATACTGCTTACACAATTTCTTCACTGAGCACTACTTCTACAATAGTGAGCGAGACAGTTTCCACGCCTTGCACTTCTTCTCTGTTATACCCTACTTCGACGATTGCGATCGAGAAAACCTCTACTACTTGTACTACTTCTCTAAAACCCACTTCGACACTGATCGAATACACTGTCTCTGCGACATCATCACCATGTACTACTACATCGACAGCGGCCTATGGCTACACCACATCGTCAACGTCCCCTCTGGAGACTACGACAACGCCATGCGACACTACTCGGACGAGTCTTACCACAAGAACAACTTACATCACTGTGCCTGAGTCTATAGCGACTTCGACCCCTTGTTCGCTTACATCAACCCTTACGACGAATAGCTCGACATTTTCGGAATCGCAATATGCCACTGTGCTCCCGGTTTATTCCACAGAAACATCGGTTGAGTCCGCATCGCCGACTTCATCTCCATGCCCATCTTCATCGTTCATTCCTGCTTATAACACCTCAAGTTCGGCAACTCCAGTTTCGTCATCTGCAGTATCGGTTACACCAATTGCATCCACACCCATCATACCTGAGAACCTGCCTCCACCAGCACCGGTAGTTACCATGACGGTTGGGTTCTTAGTCCCAAGTAATGGCACCGCCGCACCCAGAAATCAGACAGGCCTCCCAGAGTTTACTGGAGCTGCGACAAGGGTGGTGTCTGTGTCCAAGACAGAGGTCATGATGGGGTGGTTGGTTGGCGTAGTCGGCTTTCTAGCCGTTGGAGCACTGTTCTAATCTCAGTTCTTTTCGACCTGTCAAATAGATACCCCTCTGCTTGACTTGCCCACCATCCTGCTCTGCTTTGATCTTTTGCCCGTTGTAAGCACAAGGATTTCTCTTGTAGTGCTATAGGATTCTGATTGACTTCTGAAGCTTCGCAATTGTAGCCAATATGTCTTTGCGCCGAGACACTACATCCGGTCTGTATATGTCCACAGAGATTGGAGCTGAGTATATGCCTGCCTCGTGTACGATTAGTTTTATCAATCATTTCCAGAGCAATATCTGCTTCCCTCGAAAATACTGGTCCACTCTACTTGCTCTCAAACCGCGATATCGTGATTCATCTCGCCTGATTGTTTGTTTCTCTTTTGTGGTGAAGACAAAATTCGCCTGCAAAAAGACATCCCGCAACCTACGCCGACTTCATTGGCATCTCTGTATCAAGCCTACGCCATCCAAAATATGGCAATGTGGCTTGCAATAAAGAGCTTGTTGTTTCTGTCTGTTCGGGCTTTCCCACTGTGAGGTGCTTCCACCAATCTGCGCTCTGGCTCATACGACCACCAGCCATCTGCGATACTGAGCCTCTCGCAAAAAGAAGTATACAGCATCACAGTCATGCCAGGATGCTGCGATTCCAAAAAGAAATGACTCAAGCGAGGCTCGAACTCGCGACCTTTCGCGTTGGACATTGTGAATGTGAGGCGAACGTGATAACCAACTACACCATCGAGCCGATGTTGGATGTTGAACGAGCAAATTAGAATGAATATGTTTCGTGGTAATAGAAGGCGGCGAGCAGGCTGGGAGCAGCACGGTGAGGCTCAGTGCGGGGCATCAGGGGTTCGAGCTCGTGTAACTCTGTCGTCCCTCACAAACGCGAAATGGCTGTTCCAATAAACGTTTCTGTACAAGCCGAGGTATTTTCCATCTTGATATTCTCGATGACGTGATGCGTCATCTGTGACCGGACGTAGCCATGGTAATATTGCGTTTGTATGGCCAGCATGTTGTGTAAGGCCCTTCCACAGGGCGTTGCTTACTCCACACTCAACCCAGTATAACATCTGACAAGGTGCTTCCAATCTTGCAAATCATCTTCGTTTCCAGGCTTCTCCTGAGGTGTACCCTAGTCTGCAATGTCGACGCTCAAAGAACAGCTGCCATGGACGTCGTCGCCGCTAATCATGAACGCGCCTATGGCGGGGTTCGCAGGTGGTAAACTCGCGTCGGCTGTAACGCTCGCGGGTGGCCTTGGTATGATCGGAGGTCTGTTCAACATGGAAGACGTCAAGAAAGAGCTGCGTACTGCCGCAGAAGCCTTCAAAGCCAAGCCTGACCTCTCGACATCGCGTACCCTTCCAGTTGGTCTCGGCTTCCTCCCTTTCGTGCTAAAGCTGCATGACATTCTCCCAGTAATCGAAGAATTCAAGCCTGCCGTGGTCTGGCTATTCGTTCCGAAATCATTAGACGACTTCGCGGAATGGGTGTCGGCGATACGCAAAGTCTCACCGGAGAGCAAGATCTGGATTCAACTCGGTAGTGTGACAGCAGCTCTTCACGTCGCGAAGATCGCGCAGCCGGACGTTCTGTGTCTCCAAGGTGCGGATGCTGGGGGTCATGGCTTTGAGAAGGGTGCAAGTATCGTTTCACTGTTACCAGAGGCGTCGGATGCACTTGCCGCGGGAGGCTTCTCACGTGTGCCCATCATAGCATCAGGCGGTATCGCTGACGGGCGCGGCGTTGCTGCCGCACTCACACTGGGTGCTGAGGGCGTAGTGATGGGGACGCGTTTTCTGGCTTCGGAAGAGGTGAACGTACATCCCGTGTACCAAGCTGCAGTCCTGGAAGCACAAGATGGCGGTCAAGTGACGACGCGTTCGAAGCTGTTCGATCAGCTGCGCGGCCCCAACATATGGCCAGAGCTGTATGATGGACGCGGCTTGGTAGCCCAGAGTCATCGGGATTTTGCGAGTGGCATGAGCCTAGAAGAGATACAAAAGTTGCACAACGAGGCTGTTACAGGCGAAGACAAAGGATACAAGACGGGCTTGCAAGGGCGCGCGGCGATTTGGGCTGGCACTGGTGTGGGTTTGGTCAAGGAAGTGCAAAGTGCGGGAGAGATTGTGCGGAAGGTGCGACAAGAAGCGAGAGATATTTTGGCCAGGGTGGCAAAGCTGTAGTAGGAAGGAGTGGTGGTGTGTGCGGAAAACTACTCCATCACGGCATATATTCATTCTAATTTGCTTATTCAGCATACAACATCGGCTGGATGGTGTAGTTAGTTATCACGTTCGCCTCACATTCAGAGTGACCAACGCGACGGGACATAGTAACCGTCCTGCATTCTAGCCTTAACGACTACTGAAAACTCATACCCAGAATCCACGGCCTTCTCTTCTCCAAATCCAAGATCATCTGCCCGAACAGCCCATTCGCCCAGCTGAACCACTGCCGACTCCACACTGCTTTATCCCTCGCATGCACGCTCTCATGCATGAGACCCAAGCCATCCGTACTCTGCACTAGCCACATCAAATTCTGAACAATCTCCGTGTCGTCTTCACTAGTCAATATTGTCATGATAAGCGCCATAGGCCACGGTCTGCCAGGTAGTGTATGCGGACTCCCAACACCAGTGATTACAGGTCCGACAGCATAGTACGGATTATCCCTGCTCAGAATCTTGCGTCGCGTGTTCTGGTAGATGGGGTCGCGCAGCGTCGTATAACCAAGAAAAGGAGCTGAGAGAAGAGAGGGCACATTGGGATCATCCATGATATTGACAGAACCGTAGCCGTCGACTTCGTAGGCGTATATTTTGCCATAGGTGGGGTCCGAAACTATTCCGTACTTTTCTATGCCGCGATTGATGGCCGTACTCAAGGCTTGCATGCGTGCTGTTAGGCCGCTGGTGCGGGGCATGATTCGCGATGTTATTGTTGAAGAGGTGTTGAGGGCGGACGAAAACATCATGTTGGAAGGGATAAGGTACTGGTATGTACACGCATCGTCGCTGGGGCGGTGGAAAGAGCGTATGAGACCAATGTTTCCTCTGTGAGGACTGCCATTACAGTTGTTGATTGGAGTGCCGCCGTAAGGTGCGCAGTAGGTGTAAGGGGTATGTTGCCATTCGCCGTCTTCGGTGTAGCTGTCTATAGTCATGCTTTCTGCTGTTTCAAGCACGACTTCAACGGCTTTGGTCCAGTTACTGGAATTCTGGAAGAAATCATAATCCCTTGTTGCAGTCACATAATCGACAGAGAGCTGCAGGAACGAAGCCAGGGAATCTAGCTCCCATTGGCAGGAAAACACTTTGTAGTAGTCGAACAACGGTGTGATGCGGTCGCTATTCAGACTGCTTTTGTGTACGACGCCACTTTCATCAGGCGCTTGGAATGCATTGCAAAACGCATTCTCGAGGATGTAGCGTGCTTGCAGATTGATGGCGCCTCGAAAAAGACTGGCCAGGCTGTCTGGGCTGTCGTCTTTCTTCAAGACGGAGACGTATGCTTGAAGCTGGTTTGCCGAGTCGCGCAACCACATTGCTTCGATGTCGCCGGTAATGACAAAAGTCAGTTCTTCCGGTTTCATGCTCATGAGCGGACCTTCAAGCTCGTCTAGGTTACTCGTGGTGTTTGACCACCCTCGCCATTCAATCGTCGTATCTAGTGTACTGGGCCAGGAGTTTTCGAAGATCTGTGGTCGAATCAGCATGAATTGCAACACAGTGGCGGTGCTCGTACGCGAAAGAGATCAACATCTTTGATTACACCTCTCAACCTTTCAATCGTATCCTCAACCTGTCGCGAACGAAATGTCCGACACGGTACAATCGGTCTGGCGTAGCTTAAGTTCCATGTTCCTTCTGTGTAAGGCTCATGGTAATGGGCGGCGTAATTCTGATAGAGTGGACATTGAGCCAATGACAGGGATGGCAACAGAAGCGAAACGCAGGGAAGCAGGATCTTTGTGGTTGACAGCCACATGGCGTAGACGGCGGGCCGATAGTCGCCTGGCAACCTAGTAATACGGTACAAAATGGACAACAACTAAAAATATCGCCGACACGTTAAGGAGTAACTGATCGCGTGTGGTGCTCCTAGTGAAAGGTGTTCAAGCAGAGCCAAGCCGGCACGAGCCACAGGTGGTCGGCCGCGACGGCTAGCAGCGTGCTACTAATATGGACCGTGTACAAAAGGAGCAATCGCGATACGAAAGCGTCCCTCACGGAAAGAAAGACGATTAATTGCGGAGTATACCCACTACCGAGGCAGTCCAGAGTATTTCATTTGTATAGATTGCATGCCAAGAATTTCCTAGTCAAGACTACGGAAACTCTGCACCCCGCTCGCGAAGGCCGAGCCACACCATCTCATCAACCTTTCACGATAGCTCTTACTCTCTTCCTCTCCTCAGCATCCAATACCCAGGGTATACCTGACTCGCCTGACGTGTCATCCGCCACTTCCGCAAATTCGTCGTCCTCCATGTTTAGAATCAGAGTCATCTGAGTACTCTTTTGGAATGCATCGCGAAGTGAATACGCGCCACCGCTTGTAGCGGCTGTGATAATACCAGCAACGTCGCGCTCGAGCCTAACAGCACCCAGCTCGTTGACTCTACCGTAGTAGCTTTTGATGCGCTTTTCGAGCGAAGATGCGAGAGAGTTCAATCCCAATGCCAGGAGACGATCAAAATTTGCCGAGGTCAAGATACGCTTGATAGGACGGATCACGACTCCCCAACCGCGGTCAAAACGCGACTTTACCACATCGACATCGTCCTCTTCTTCATCCTCATTTTCGCCATCCTCGGGGTCGTACTTTATGTCTCGGAACGCTTCAGCCAGGATCGGTCGAATGCGAGGCTTGAGGACGTTTGAGAATAAGACAGTGATGCCATCGTTGAGCAGATCTCCGCTCTTGGATGCAAATGACTTTTCCATTGCTTTCAGTGTGTTCTCAACGAATATAGCGTCGTGTCCGAATGGAAAGAGGTCGTGCAAAGGTGATTTTGTATCCTCTTCGCCAGCTTGCGAGTGACGGCCGAGCTGCTGCGAGACTATTCGTTTGACGTAGTCGTTCGCAATGTCCAGGTTGTTGATGAGCACCAAGAAGGCAATAACTTTGTCTTCGGGAGGAAGACCGCCCTGAATAACGGGCTTGGGGTAACTTTCGTCACGCATTTTCCGTTGTATCATACCGATAAACTCTGCGCCCAGGATATGGCTTACCGCAGGCACGACACTAGAGACGACGGCACGTTGCGAGGTTGCCAGGGTTCTCTGAATTACCTGATTGACAATGTACATGACATCGTCGACTGCGGAGGTGATGAAAGGTGGGTTGGACCCAAGAGGTTTGGTTGGATTCAGCGTGAGATCTGCTGGCGCTTCGTCCAACTGAAAAGCCTTCTCCACCGACCTACGAAAGAAAAAGGTTGTCATGGCATTGACAGGCTCGATAAGATGGCTGTTCACTTTCTTGTGGAGATTACTGGTAGCTAAGAAATTGGGCATCACTAAACCGTAGTCGATGCGGTCTTCAGGCTCGGCGGGCTGCAAAAGTAAGTTGTTGAAAGCGAACATGTACATTTGCCACTTACTGCACACTTGTCAGAGAGGAAACGCGCATACAGCGCATAGCGTCCTAGCATTAGTGCGCCCTCTCCAAGCAAGCCATCAATCTCTTTCATGTCCACTCCCTCGTCTTCGCTGACTCGGCCAGCACCGTTGGCTGGCGAGCTGGAACGAGGTATTCCAGAAGCAGGTTTTTGGGAGGGAAGAAAGCTTTGGACAAGGAAGGAGAAGGCATAAGATTTGATGTCAGTCAGCTTGCGGTCTATGTGACGCTCTTCATGCCATGTGTCGAGCACGATGCCGCCTTGCACATCGGCCTCAATTTGTAGACGTTCAATAACCTTCTGCATCATGCCTGATCCGTAGTGACGCTCGACCAACGGCTCATGGCTATCAACAATCTGAGCGATATGCTCGAAGAGTTTTGTGATGGTGTTGCCGTAGAAGAAGGGCTCATTCCTCTGAGCTGGCGCAGCCGAATTGAAGTTTGTCCGCGCACGCGAAGCTACTCCCTGGCAAACATATCGACCGTATGCATCCAGGCCTACATCTGTCCGTCCGATCAAGGGGAACAGTTTGAAGAACCTCGTCACCTTGGAGCCGTCGCCCTCTTGCGCAGCCTTTTCGAACTCGCGCAAGAAGAGGCCACACAGCGACTCTGCTGCTGCATCTAGCGTCACGCGCGGCGGATCCGGCACTTCAGCAGTCGGCACGATCTCGTCTGCGAAACTGCCGTTTACGACGTCGTCGGGTATTTTGGCGGCGCGGTGGAGATAGCCAGCAGCCGTCTCCCAGTCTTGTGGAGCTCCCATGGAGCCATGGACGCCCAGCACACATGCCTTGAGTTCTGCCACCTGCTCCACCACCTCGAGTGTTGCCTTGACATTCGACTGTTCCTGGTCTAACCGCTTGACGGCGCTCGATATCCGGCTCGCAGTCGAGGCGGCGTCGGAGAGCATGCCATTGCTGATGGCGCGCGTGTTGACGGCCTGGGTGCCGAGGTGGGCGCGGAGCAGATCGAGGCGACCGAGTTCGCGCGAGAGATGCTTCTGCGAGGCGATGAGGGCGTTTAGGCGCTGGGTGATGCTGGCCTCGTGCTCGTGCAATTGGCCGAGGGCTTCATGGATCTGAGCCACGCTGGCGGCGGCGAAAATGTCTCGGTCGTCAATGTCCACTGCCATGTTCAATCATGCTGCAGTTAGGGTGCAGATGTCGAGGAACATCAAACGTCGCGTACTGGCTCGCGACTGTTGATCGTCTATTTCTGGCCCTGCAAGCTGTCAAGCGTTGGTGGGCGAGCGCCGATCTCTTGGCCGGTGACGTCTCAGGGCCTAGGACTCGCACGATCAATGCACCCGTTGCCCCTGCAGCGAGATTACATTACATGTTGACGGGCAAGGAACGACGCGGAACGGCCTCCACCGTCGCATGTTTCTGTTTACCTGCCCAAAGTCCCGTCGCAAGTTTGGTATATTAACGTTTGCTGCCTTTGTCTGCGGCACGGCTTTGGCCCCCAGCTGCTGTGTAAACACCACCAACCTGCGCACCAATCACCCTCGCATCTAGACCTCTCAGCTGTACGCACCACGATTACGCACCAACGGCCCGCATCTGCACCGAAAGACTGCGCCTTCCTCGTACTCCAACAAAAGAAACCCCTTCACCACCCGCGCCTTCCCCTCCGCTCTCTGCGACTTCCCTCTGCGACTGCGATTGCGCCTTGCTCGTACTCATCTCCGTGGTGCCCTGGACCCTGTCCAAACAGACTTCCCAAAGCGTTCTTGCCTCCGGTCATTCAGCGCTCCTCCACGTGCAGCCCAGCCTCGTGCACCTCACCCAAGACGTTCCAGTCGCAAACACTATTATTCATGCTTCCACGGTAAAAAAGCACTTTACAGTCAACTATACCATCAGGTCGAATCGCCGGTGCACTAGCACTTGGCAGCATCCACTGCGACCCACCTCAAGCCATGGACTCGACCGCACACCTCCTCTATGCCGCCCACCAGCTGGATGCCCGCGCTGGGGGCATGGGCGGCGATACAGGAACCCGCCCAGGCTCATACAAGATTATTGGTCTAGTCCTAGCCATCGCATCGGGAGTCTTCATCGGGACATCATTCGTTATAAAGAAACACGGTCTATTACAGGCGAACAAGAAGTACAATGAAGAGGCGGGAGAAGGCTATGGATACCTCAAGAACGCTTGGTGGTGGCTCGGTATGACACTCATGATTGTTGGAGAAATATGGTAAACACCACGAAGCGTCAGATCCGGACCTCCTACTAATACCTGGTAGTAATCTCGTCGCATACGCCTTCACCGACGCCATCCTCGTAACCCCCATGGGCGCCCTCTCCGTCGTCATATGCGCTATACTGTCCACTATATTCTTGAAGGAACGCTTGAGCTTTGTAGGAAAAGTAGGCTGTTTCAACTGCATCATCGGGTCCGTTGTAATTGCAGTAAACGCACCCGAGCAGTCGTCTGTTGCGCGCATTCAAGACATGAAGAAATGGGTCATTGCTCCAGGTTTTCTCAGCTATGCAGGTGTCATCATCATCGCATGTGTTGTTATTGCTCTCTGGCTCGGCCCCAAGTACGGAAAGAAGACTATGATGGTCTACATCACTATCTGCAGTCTGATCGGAGGACTGAGTGTTGTCGCAACCCAAGGTCTCGGTGCTGCCGTCGTAGCGCAGGCTTCTGGCACATACGGCGGACAGTTTAAGGAATGGTTCCTCTACGTGCTACTAGTCTTTGTTGTGGTCACGTTACTGACGGAGATCATCTACCTGAACGTAAGTCCATCTCTCTTTCTTGGCCATGTGGAGAATGCTAAGCTTTGCCCAGAAAGCCTTGAACTTGTTCAACGCTGCTTTAGTGACACCAACATACTACGTCTTCTTCACGTCTGCGACAATCGTCACTTCGGCTGTCTTGTTCCAAGGATTCAAAGGCACCCCACTCCAGATCGTCACTGTCATCATGGGCTTCCTACAAATCTGTTCCGGCGTCGTTCTGCTACAACTCTCCAAGTCGGCAAAGGACGTGCCGGACTCAGCTGTCTTCAAGGGCGATCTTGACCAAGTGCGAACCGTCGCAGAGATGGAGGAGCCCGAGTACGAGCCCCGAGCTGACACTCTTCGTGGTGGCGCAGCAATCCTCAGGTCACTGTCAAAGGCTAGGTCGCACAAGGAGCTCGCTGAGGCTAAGAAGATTCAAGAAGAGCACATGGAGCCGATTGGCGAAGGCGAACAGGTCGAATTTGACGGTCTCCGAAGACGGAAAACGGTCCTCGACCCCAGTCGTCCACCAACACGCAGCGCTACCGTCGTACGGACCATCCACCCGCCTCTCGGCATGTCCCAGTTTCCGACCGATGAATCAGACGACGATAACGATAGTTTCCACCCTGGTTTCTTCCAAAGATTACGCTCCCGGGGCAAGTCTACCAGTAGTCGTGGTAGCTCACATGCTCCAGGGACTTCGGGCATGGGCATGCAGACGTTGCCCTCCATCCCACAGGCCGATGGTGCTTCGGATCGCGAATCAGACGCCGGATCCTACAAGCAGACCATGATGACGCAAGATACATCCTACAAGCCGCTAGACAGCCACATACATTTCGCCTCGCTTCCTGATCCGCCCCGCCATGGCCATGATCGTCAAGACTCCAGCGATTCACTCGCTCCCCCAAGACCACCTCCCCATATGGCCAAACGACAATTCTCTTTCCAGAACGTCTTCTCCCGGAATCGTCCTGATTCAACAGGCGAATCGTCCAGTAGCAGACGACCGGCTAGTAGGCATAGTCGGAAGAGTAGCAAAGAAGGCAAAGCAGCGGCTACCGCCACTGAAGAAGAAAGACTGGGGCTTGTCAAGGGCGACTCAACAAATCTCCTTCCCATCGCCAGCCGTGGAAGTGATGAGTTGGTTGGACCACCAGGTTATTCAGATGACTGGGATATGCCCAGAAGTTCAAGTCCAGGATACTCACCTGAGCGGCCGCACGTCATGCCACCACCGATACGCAGGGTTGATACGGACATGTCAGAGCTAAGCCCGAGAGATCCCAAAGAATTCGAGAAAGGTTCTGGAAACGGGAACACTTTCTTATAGGGCGTAGGATGAGAACTTTCCCATCTTCTCTTCTGTTCTCAATTAGTAGGTGCTGTGGCATAACCAGTGTCTTGTTTAGCTTCTTGAATGTCGTTTTGCATAGTGGACGGTGTTGGTTTCGATGTTGGCGGATTCTTCTTGGGCGCTGGCTGTATATCGAGCGCTTGCGCGGCCGACTAGCGGTGGATTTCGGCCTGTGAATGTCGTAACGACCCGCATCGGACGTTAATGAATACTGTTACATACATGAGCAGATAATGCCCCATGGGCTTGTATACGTAGATAGCAGAAGGAAGACGACTGAGATACATGGTCGTAAGGTACATATGTAGATTTATATCATGATGATCACTACCACCACTTTTGGAAACCATGATTGCACGGAGTCCTACCGCCCTACTCTCTCGTCATATGTTTTGAGATTCGTCTTCCATACTACCTCAAAAACAGAGAGGAACTAGGATGTGTGTACAACGTGTTCTTTCACCTTAAATCTTGAATCCTCTTCTCATGGCTCGTCTATGCTTGATTCGGATCCTCGCTCTACGTTTTGAGGAATGCTGTTGCATGCATGTGTAGTACATGTCTCTCATAGTTTTCTAAACGCCACCAAGGTTTCCGCTTAGCTGAGCGAACAACAAATACAATGACACCAGAGCAATATCGCTAATGAACACGGTTTACTCCAAGAACCATTGAATGCATTGATAAATCCTCCAGAAGTAACGACCGAAACTACAACACACAATGACGACTTCCTAGAAAGTAATGACCGAAACGGGTATCCGACACGACCCCAGTAAAGATAAGACGCCAGCAGCTTGTGCGAAAAACTCAATAGATAAGGTCTATTGGAGTTTCCGAGCTCTCACTGTTGAGAGTAGAACAGCGACCATCCCGACGCCTATCGGTATCAAGCTCCACAAGAAGCGCCATCGCCCGGAGCAGGCATTTGCGTAGCGACCGACTGCAGATACATATCGTGCTGGAACGGGAAGATTGTTGATGAGGGGGCCATTGATAGTACTTTTGACCCATGTTTTGAATATCATGCCCTGTCCGAAGCGAGGAAAGAAGTAGTTGATAAACATGCGTGATCGCAAGGTTTCCTTGACTGTTATCGAGTTCATCATACGGCCTTGATTGACGGCGGCGACGGCTCGATTAAATTGAGCGGCCTGAACTTCTGTAAAGATCGAGACGATGTCGTCTTCCGTAAATGACTTTTCGGGTTCCTTGGCTTGTACTGCCGTAAGAAGAGTGTTCGTTAGCACGGCAGCCGTTTCGATAGCAGTGTTGGCACCTTGTGCGCTGAGAGGGTGTACCTGTTGCGACTAATATCAGCACGTTTCGTGTCAAGCTACTCTCAACTTGATTTACCTTGTGCGCAGCGTCGCCTGTCGTGATAATCCTCCGGTAGTGCCAACGGGTGAACGCATTATCTTCAACGCTTACAAGCGTCGTTTGCAATCGATTCGCATACAGGTCCTCAAACGTGACCTTGTCTGTAATACGATCCTGGAGATGCCGCTCTACCAGCGCCTGTTCATCTTCTTTTGTATACCTTGAGATGTCTTTTCCGAATGCCTTCGGCGTCTCGGTTATCAAAAACCAGTAGGTACGGTCTTCGGGAGCGGATATGACCAGATAGTTGCAGTCTTTGAAGAATGCATTGAGTCGCAAAGGCGACGCCGTAAGGCCAGAAGGCCTTTTGGAGATGCCAAAGATGCACATGGATTCGCATTGAAGGTCTGTAAAAGTGTCAACCGTGTACGTGCAGCAGCTCAGTGAATGCTAACCTCGAACTGGGTCAGATTTGAAAACATCTAACCCGTCCTCATCTGCAATCCTCCACATTTCTTGTCTGACAGCACTATGAACGCCATCTGCTCCGACAACAAAGTCACCTGTATACGTTGACCCATCCTTGGTGAAGACTTTGACGCCGCTCGCTTCGTGCTCAACTCTACAGACACGCTTATTCGTGAGAACGCGCTCCTTAGATTTGAGATTGTTGAACAGGATCTGGAGTGCGTCTTGACGATCGATGAATACTTGTGGGTACCCGATTCTAAACAGACTTGTTAGAACTTCCTTGAACAAGCAGATCGCTCTCTTAGACACTCACCTCTCCTCTAGCTTTTGGCAAACGGTCTTCTCCTCCGGATCTACCCACGATCTTCCACCAAAGAGAGTCATACACGCTTTGTAATGTGCATTTCCGACCGTCTTCTCAATTTCGTCGTAACAGCCAAGCTGGTCCAGGATGCGCAAACCAGTGGGAAGTAGTCCGACGCTTGCGCCGAGCTGATGTCCAATGCTAGAATGCCCTTCCAAAAGGACAAAGTCAATGTCGAATCTTTCCAGCATGTTCGCAAGACTTAGGCCGGAAAAGCTCCCACCAACGATGACGACTTTGAGGCTCATTCTGCACGACCCTAGAAATCCTTAATTGTAGCTGTAGTGACCGAAGTACGAAGAAAGCAAAGCACAAGTGGACTTCTGAGATTAATGAACGTTTATAAACATTGTGATCGAAGACGTTGCGTTGGTGCTGCCAGAAGGAGCCATGACTTTCGGTTGCTCAGTGGACCAAATCGTCTCGACGTAGGAAAGAGTTCGGTCACTCGAAGCAGCGAGCAGTCGGGATATAAGGAGTGTTTCGTCCGATGAACCGTGGTCACCGCGGAACAGCGGGGAGTTCGTCCGAAGACACGCGCTGTACAGACTCATAGGCATAGACACGTTCAAGTCCTAGTAGATCGGATACGGAGCTTATAGTCACACCCGGGGCCGGCGAATCGGATCATTGCAACGTAGAGGAGGGTCTGCTTCAAGTCTGGGGTGTCTTTATAGACTTGTACCTGTAGCAGAAATGTCAAGGCCTCAGCGAGCCCAGAGAAGAAACTTGTAGCATCAAACAGATATAATCATCCCGATAGGGTGCTGTCGAGAACTTCTTGTGTTCCGCCTAGCTTTGCATCCCGCGCCGTACGTGATTGCCGCTTTCGCTTGGCTAGCCTGGGCAGATGCAATGATAAGAGTGACGGACTAGAAAGGTTTGGTTCGTCTTGTCATCTCGAAGTTCGACAAGTTTTGTTATTGGTTAGATGAGAGTCTGCGAAAGACGCACCAAGTCAAACAAGTGAGCTAGAGAAATGAATCTTTACGTAAAGAGAGACTGTGGCAGATGGAGAGCTGTGTGAGTGTTTGTTTACGGAGGCATCAAAATTTCGTCTCTACCTTCGCTTTTTATCTTTGAGTTGCTGCTTACGGTGGTTGGCGCGTAGTCAAGACACCTACCCAGTATGTTGTTTTTGGTAAGTACTACGCATACATGTATTTGTCGTGCGCCTATATGCATATCCAGAAGGAGGTGGAGGGACAAATACGTGTGGAGAGGGGAAGGTGTCCGTAAAGCGTACCAATATTTCCCTGCTGGTGGTTGCAGACGCAGGTATAGGTTTTGGGAGTAGTAGATTGAACCCGTCCTCTGTGTTCGCTTCAGGTTGGAAGCTCAACAACATCGATTCATGCCTGCGCTTAGCAGATGGGAAGGGTCGGTGGTACTGGGTGACGTAGTGGTGGTCGAAGGTTCTTGCGCATATCCGGTCTCGCTGCATGAACATCGGCATCTCCGTGCCTATGCGTAAGCGTGTCTCCAACGAAGCGGCGGTGACAAGTTTGTGAAGGTTGCAGTGGACAAAGCATACAGAGCTGGTGGTTGAGGACGCGATGTGCACGCGGCTAAGCAGGGTGCTTCATGCGCGATCGCGACACCGCGTGACCCGCATCTGCAGTTCGCACATCAATGGATCTTGGGATGCACCCGCGGACCGTCGACCTGGAAAACCTGGTACTTGGATCTAGACTAGACGACGGGCCTGGTCAATACCAGAAAAATACCGGAACACTTGCTTCTGATATCCTGCATCTTCCACCTTGCATAATGCGCTTGAAGGGTGCCGGGACACGAATACTTTGCATTCGCCTAGCCAGACACCCTCACGCAAAGTAGTACATGCAAGATACGGCCCGCAGGATGCATGCATTCCGTACGTGTTTCTTCTTTTACTGTCACACAGCCAAAAGAAAACAAGACACGGCACGCCAAAAACGTGTTCCACGCGACAGAGTACCGCCCACGCCTCGACCACGACCACGACCACCTGCAGCAATGCAATGCGATGCAAAAACAGCAAAAAGAAAGTATTCTCTCCAGCGGGGAATTGAACCCCGGTCTCCCGCGAGTTGCCTGTGATGGTGACAAGCGGAAATACTGACCACTATACTACTGAAGATTGACCAACCAGAAGGTTGAGTAGTTGATTGGTGGAAGAATCAGGAATTGGATACAATATAACCTCATTCTGCGTTGCAAACGCTGCCCTGCAAAGTACCATCGCATTTCGTGTTCTCGTTGTCAGCTGGATGGTGAAAATTCTGTGAGTGGGGCGTCGAGTAGGCAACGGGCAATGGACCTGACTCAGGGGTGCTTGCGGAGCCTCGAAAACGCCATAGACTACAAACGTCAGAAAATCGACATCATTCGCCATATATCAACTCATTGGCCATGGGGTGTATGACGAGCTTCATTCGATTTGATTATATTCTATTACCACAGGAAAGCTCTGATCTCGTCATATGGAAAAGGTAATGACACATGGTAATTCAATGCTAACAGAATATCATAATTTCCATCTACATAGTTCTCGTATCGTCATTAGTCAACAACATATATCTAAAAAGACATGCTGCCGATTTAGATGCCACGCCTGTAGATAGTACCTGTACCAGTAAAGTTACCGGTCTGAGTAACAAAGTTCTCAGTGCTGCTAAAGTCCTTGACCTTTCCGAGGAGGATCTCCAACATGCGGTAAGCAACACCAGGAGTGTAACCGGGCAGCTCGTGACCGGCAAGACGGGCAGTGTAGAAGGTCATGCCACGCTCCGCAGTCCAGTATCCCTGGATACCGGCGCCAGCAAGCGCACCGCCGTTGTACTCTGGGTGGTAGGGTACGTACAGAGGAGTAGCTGGGTACTCGGAGAGACCCTGGGCGCCGTTCCAGGTCATGTTCTGGATGGCAA